TATTTTTTGTGATACTCCACTGGTTACACACTTGGTTTATCTCTGCACACTTGTGTTCTGTGAGTACATAGATACCAACCAACAAAGTAGCTGTGTGTTGCCAGATGTAAAAAATTGCCACTAAAAATTTTTCTTGCAAAAAATTAATAAAAACTCAATAAATACAAAAGTGTTATGCCCTTAAAGCTCTAATACCCTTCTGTATTTATTTACTCATCCACCTATTAGCTTAAGCAATGATTAGAAAATTTAGTACCTATTTTAAAAAATCCATAACTACAAATTTAATTTTTTCATCAGTTTTTTTCTTTCTGTTTACTCAGATAAAATTGGGACCAGTTCATAGGTTGTGCAAATAAATCCAAAAGCACTTCCCTTAGTTAAGATATTTACAATTTGAGCACATAACCTAAAATTTGAAAGAAATGCACTAGATTCTGTCATAAAAGTTGGCAGATTGTGTTTGAATTTACCTTCTGTACAAAAATGTCAGAACCAACAATTAATAAAAACGCCAAATTGACAATTTGCATTGTTAATTTTATCATTTTTGTAATTAAGCTAAATTTAAACAATGTTTGACAACTTTTTTGACAGATTTTGGAAACACTGTTGTTACCAACCATAACATAAATTAAATTAGGCAACCAGACTAGCCTAAAGTTCCTAGTCGATCAGTAGCGTACTTTTTGGTAGGATATCATATAATAATATCAGAATTTGCATCTTTGGGTACAAGAACATTCTTACTGTAAGAATCTTACATCATTCGGTACAAGTCATTTTAAAATGAATTTAGTTGGGCCACCCCGATCTCCAAACATTACGCCGCTAGTTGTATGTATGGGCTATTTGAAAGATATGGTATATGCGGAACCAGTTGCAACAAGGGACGAAATTATTGCGGGAATTAAATTGGCATACAGAAATGAGGCAAAATAGACAACAGATATCTGCCGCTTTGAATTCTGTAATTTGCAGATGTCGGAAATGTATCGAAGTTGGTGGTGAACATTTCCGGCAAATACATTTTTTTGTAGTTTTATTTGTAATTATAACTTTCCGTTGTAAAATATTGTTAAGTGTTTAGTTTAATTTTCTGATTTATTACTCCTTACGTTTTCTTAAATTCACTAATAATATCAGAAATGTAAAAAAAATTAAATCAACCAATTTAATTTTAAAAGGTTGCTAAAATATTTATTTTTGTACCTACACTGGTAAAAATGGTGAATTTACAAAATTAAAAAGTAAAGTAAAATAATAAATCTTAGTTTCGATAATGACAATCAATATTCTAAATCATAATCATAATCATAATTTAAATGTATTCTTAGTATTTTTGTTGTAAAATAACAAAATCAACATACTACACCTACAATATATTACTTATCCAATTAGGCATACACCTGGGATAGAGTTTTTTAACAGTTATGTTATTCATCAATTTTTTAGATGTTAAGATTTTTGAGGGATCACTTTGTATTGGTGCGACATGACGTGTCAGCCTATTTTGCATTATACAGAGGTTTGCGTTAAACTCTGTAGCTTCTTTGTTTTTAGATATTCAGTTCAAACAAAAACCATACTTAATTTTAAATAAACAAGTTTTTGAAATATTTGTCGAATTATTTTTAATTTATTCTTACTCTCTTTTGAAAATTTTCATGAATTTTGTCTCAAGTTTGGACCATTAGAGTTTAGATTGTTTTGTCAACAAATGTTTAGCATTAGCATTAAGTAAACTTTGTCTTATCAAATTTTAACAAATAAAGGAGCGTCAATCCAATGCCGAGCTTTATAACCAAACCTCACCTCTGTTGAATTATACTTAACCATTTATTGATAAAAAAACAGTGGAGGCACGACAGAAGCTATGCTAAAAAATCTGAAAATTTTGAATTTTGGAATGAATAATCCATCCAGTCGACATTGACATTAAATATAAACTGATGTGCAAAATTAAAGCACCAATTTTTCAAAGATCTATAAAATTTGAATAAAATAGTTCTCCTCAAAAATGTTGTAGCCTTAAGTTTACCAAAGAATGTCAACGTTAGTGAAGTAGTTTTGGAAATATGTTCTTCATATATCAAAAAGTGAATTTGAAGATTTAATAAATACACCAAGGTTACTGTTATGCTCCAAAAACCTTCCAAAAACTTAATAAAAAGGTCTACCAATATTTTCTATGTCAACAAAGATCCTTTATAGTGTTTTACAACCACATTTTCCTCTGGGTCATGTATTATCCGATGGAAGTGATAATATGATAACATTACCTGTTATATTCTCATCCTAACTCATCAAGCAGCCTTATCCATTAAATCCCGTTCTTGTTAACCTCAATTTAAGTCATGAGAAAGTCTTTTTTAACTGCTTTATACTGTGCATCACCCAAAGATCCATCCCATCAGACCACTACCACATTGTTAACCTCTCAAGCTGACTTAACTATTCAAAATACCCAGCTCTGGCAAAGGTATATTCAGCTCTGGGAAGGTATACGCGTATTAAATGGTAGACTATTAAAAAATACACTATAGCATCATTCATACCCAGTAAGCCAACTACCAAATTCGCAAAGCGTAAGTTGTATGGGAACTCATATTTTTACGAGGGTTTATCTAACCACCTAAAGGATCGAATTTTGTTCGAAAATGCGATGATAGCGCAAGATACAAAAACTCTATGACTAATATTGCACCACTGTTTTTTAAATTAATTAATTAGCCAAAAGACTCCATTTTAAAAATCACAGTTAGGCATTCCGAGTTATTTTTATTGTTACTAATGGTAATGTCTCTTCTTAACCAAAGTTGAAGAATTCCAAAATTCTTAACTCTACCTATTTATGAGTTCTTTAATTAACGAGCTAATTTTTTTCACTATTTTTTTTCAGGGACACCCTTATGGGTCCCCTAAAAGGTACTCTCTAAAAATGAATTTGTTAAAAATTATGAAAGTGGAGCAGTTTTTGAGATATAGTCAATTCCATATTAAATGGAAAATTGACTTTATCTCAAAAACTGTTACTTTTTTAACTTTTGGATTTTCGGATTCAGGGGACAATTTTACATAAGAATTGTCTGGTAATTTTGGGATACCATGGTATCCCATGGTTATTCTTGGTCAAGAGCCACTAATAACTATTAAATTAGTCATTTTTGACTAATTCATTTTTAGAGAGTACATGAGAGCTTTTCTGCCAGTTTAGATACCCTGTAGATAAGGATAAGGATATGGATAAGGATAAGGAGTGTCATCTGTTACCTGTCACCTAGAAAGATTATATTTTGGAGCTTTAACTCTGCATATGAAAATAAATAAATAGATAAGAAAAGCATAGCTTGGCATTGGGATAAAGAAGGGAAAGTGTAATGCGCAATAATGATTATTAATTAATCGCGCATAGACCGTAGACTCACGTGACTGACTGTACGTGCACGCATTGGTTGAAAGATTGACAACAGAGGTAAAGAAGGTTGATTGACAAGTATTTTTGGTTTTATTTAAATTTCAAAATTTTAAATTGAGAAAATCACTTTGGGATGTTAATTGTTTTAATTTATCAAGGGATAAAAAATCTGCACCTCAATTATTTAAAATACCAGCAGTAAGTATAATGAAACATTACAGTGTAATGATTACACCAAACAACTTGCAATCGACTAGTTTTACATTGCAAAATTCAGTCATTTTATACGTGAAAATGCATTACTGATGACCAAATTAACATCATTACAGTTTGCGTTTACTGCTTAGTTAATAAATTTCCCCACTATTTTAACAAACTGTTCTGTTTACTACTTAGAAGATTTTATAATATAATTGAGATTAACAACAGTCCAAAAGTCCAAATTTTGACATAATATTCCAAAAAATTAGTTTTATACTTGCATTATAAATGCATTTTTGTGGATATATTTTAACTATTTTATAAAATATAATGTACATATTTTGTAAAATGATTTATATATATTCACAAAAATGTATCTTGAACTTTAAAATTGATTTTAAAAAATGACTTGTCATTTTAGGACTTGTACTGTTCTTATTCTTAGCGATTCAATTATATTATAATCTTCTTTTTACGACTTTGGTAAAGGTTAACATTGGTTTAACACGCTTGACAGATGGACAAAATAATAGATGTTAAAAAATCTTCTTTATCTCTACAAAGGATATGAGGGGAGATGAGCAGAAATTAATTTTTTCTACGACCACTATGTAAAAGTCACTTTTCATGATGGCATCGTTGCTTATAAAATGAATCTTTTCATTGGCAAGGCAAAACACGAATGTAAAGTGACATTTCTGTGTAAAAAGTGACAGGTCTGTGTTAAAAGAACCGGAAAGCATCGTTTGACATTCAGCTGTCAAAAAAGTTTTTAGGTTATTTTGTTTTGTAAAAAAATTAAAGGGTCGCAGAAAAAACATTGTTATACTTGTGAGAAAAGCTTTCTTCAAGCTCGTGTTAATGCACACTCGGCCTAACGGCCTCGTGGGCAACGTAAAAACTCGCATGAAAAAGTCGCTTTTCAACACTTGTAAAACAAATAACTATTGCGTTTCGGTCATAGTACACGTTCGACTTTCTTATAGACCCCCACCCTCAAATTTATGTGGAGTTGAAATTCCTAAATATAATCTTTTTACTGTCACCTGTCACCTGTAACCTGTTATTTGTCATCTGTAAATTTGACAACGTCATCTGTCATGTTGAAACCTATTCAATTGTTGATTGATATTTTGTTGGTTCCCCTGTAGGTTTATCTGTCATCTTGACACCTGTCAAAGTGTTGCTTGATATTTTGTTGGATCAACCTGTATTCGGTTGGCCTGAAATCTGGGGTGCGTTCATTTAATAAATTTGTTGGTGAGCGAAGTGACGTCAGAGCGATGCGATTTATGCTCAGAGTGTGTTCAGAGTGACTCAGAGTTTTTGAACGCGTTTAGGTGACCCAAAAAGTAGTTGTCAGTTGTCATTTTACCAAAAAATGGAAAACCAAAAATTAAAGACAATTATAACTTCCAATATAATGGGAACAAATTTGCTACTGAACATTCCGGTAGCATTATCTGAAGATGAGGACGATTCTAGTACTAGTGAAGATGAACAACTAATGGCAGTAATGATAATCAGGAAAAGAAAATATAAAAAACCTGTTAGAATTCAACAATATGTAGAACAAGTTGTTCCTAGCTACACCGCACAGCAATTTCAGCAACATTTCCGGATTACCATTGACGCATATGAACACCTTCTTAATGTAATGGGACCGCAAATGTCTAGGCAGGGTGAAGCTGGCAGGCCAAATATTAATGTCGAAAAACAATTATTGGCTGTAATCTGGTTGTTAGCCACACCAGACTCTTATAGGTGATTATGAACTTTTTTATTAAGGCAAATTTACCTTTAATATTAATATTTTACATGTACTTGTTTCAGATCAATTGGAGAACGCTTTGATCTTGCAAAATCCACATTATCTGCTTGTTTCATTAGAGTAGTTAAAATTCTGAATGGATTATCTCCAAATACACTCGCGTGCAAAATAATCGGCCCACACAAATTTTCGATGAATTTCAATCACAAATAACTTTTTTATTTGATGTCGGATTTAAACGAATATTAAAGAATATTGTAGATAAATTAATGGACAATCGCTCACATTTTAAAAAAATACTAAAAAATAGACGTACGTTTATAATATACAGGTTTAAACAAAAATATGTTTTTTTACCATAAGTTTAAGACACTCTGTAGAGTGGCAAAACCGTATATTGTTCTAAATTAAGTTTTATTTATCAAGTCACATCTATTCTTAACAGTTTTGTTTTTGGTTCACCTCGATATATTTATTTTTGTGGAAAATATGGATTTTTTTAAAAAACATTGCAACTTCCAATATTTTTCTGTATGAAGAACTAAGGTTGCTATGGTCCATCCATAGGCTATGGAGAATGACAGTGACAGTTTTATTGAATCATCCCATACTTGGACATGTCACACACGGCTTTTAAAAGCTATCAAATTGTTTTTTGCAAATTAATGTTTAAATTTTGAGGTGTCTTCTTACTTTATAAAATGGATATGTCTCCGACTGATGTTGCCAGAGCTATTAATTTAATCCACGATGGACGGTCACAGTATTACGTGGCAAGTGTTTTAAACGTCATAAGAAGTAAAGTACAAAGGGCAACATCAGTCGGAGACATTTTTAAAAGTAAGAAGACACCTCAAAATTAACACATTAATTAACAAAAAAAAAATTGATAGCTTTTGAAAGCTGTATATAACATGTCCAAGTATGGGATAATTCAACAAAACTGTCACTGTCATTCTCCATAGGCTATGGATGGACCATAGCAACCTTAGTTCTTCATACTTGAAAAATATTGGAAATTGCAATGTTTTTTAAAAAAATCCATACTCCACAAAAATAAATATATCGAGGTGAACCAAAAACAAAACTGTTAAGAATAGATGTGACTTGATAAATGAAATTTAATTTAAAACAATATACGGTTTTGCCACTCTACAGAGTGTCTTAAACTCATGGTAAAAAAACATCTTTTTGTTTAAACCTGTATATTATAAACGTACGTCTATTTTTTAGTATTTTTTTAAAATGTGAGCGATTGTCCATTAATTTATCTACAATATTCTTTAATATTCGTTTAAATCCGACATCAAATAAAAAAGTTATTTGCGATTGAAATTCATCGAAAATTTGTGTGGGCCGATTATTTTGCACGTGAGTGTATTATAAAATGGCCAGAACAACAACGTTTGAATGATATAAAAAGAAGATTCCGTGAAATTAGAGGGATGAGTAATGTCATTGGTGCTGTTGATGGATCTTACATTCCAATCAAGGCTCCCAAGGAGGATGCAGAATCATATATTACCAGAAAATGCAATTTTGCATTTACCTTGCAAGCAATTGCTGATCCATTTTTAAGCTTTATTGATATATTCATTGCATACCCTGGATCTGTCAGTGATAATCGCATATTTAGAAATTCTGATATCTATTTTGCAATAAACAATAATGTGGAACAATATTTTCCACAGCAAGAATTCATAATTGGTGATAAGGCATATCCTGTCTCAAACTGGTGCATTCCACCTTACATAAATAGAGGAAATTTAACAGCTGCGCAAGTACATTTTAATACTGTGCATGCTCAAACAAGGCAAGTCATCGAAAGATCTTTTGCCCTGTTGCTAGGCAGGTTTCGGAGATTAAAATATCTCGATATGAATCGAACCGATCTCATTCCCGCAACTGTACTAGCAGCGTGTGTTTTACACAATATATGCCTTAACTACAATGATTTACTAGTTGAAGATTACATTAGAGATGGGAGAGATTATGTTCTCAATAATGAAGATCATGTGAACATAATAGAAGCAAGAAATCAAGGGCAAAATCGTCGGGACCAAATTTGCAGAGAACTGTTTCGACAGATACCAAGAAATTAAAGTACTTATTTGTTTATTTATTTTATTCTTACATTGACTTTTTAAAAAACTATTTTTCTCAATAAACTCTTAAATAATTTTGCTAAAGTTTCTCTTTTACCATTACTATAGGTTATTTGATGTTGAATTTATGAAAAACCAGGTATGTATTTAAAAACTTTTATTGCACAGTATCACTGTATAACTTAAAAATCTATCAGTTCGTAAGATGAATAAATAATAACAAAAAAAAAACACAGTATCATTGCGTAACTTAAAAATCTATCAGTTCATAAGATGAATAAAACGAAACATTCTAATATAAAAAAAAATATTTTTAACTTTGTGACTTTGTAACATGAGTAAAACAAAACATTCTAACATAAATACCTAAATTTTGTCTAATTTCGAGAATAAGACGTCCATCTTGGAGCTAAAGATGTCAATTGCTCTGTTTCGTACTTGCATTTCTTCTTGATGGCGACGCTCTCTGTTTTTCTCACGGTCTCGAGCAGAGGTATTCATTTCTTCAATAACACTTATTGGTGTTTTATTTTTTTTAACACTAGTTGATAAAGTATCCATAAATTTACGTTTTTTAGATTTTGGTTCATCATGACCATTATCATCATTAAGTGCATTATCCATAGAAAGAGGAACTTAAAATAAAAACAAATATAATGTTGATTTATCAATAATTAATAATTATTATTATGCGAATTTTACTCACCTCTATCCCCTTTTAGAGATGATGCCACGGCTACTGGAATTATATTTGGTTTTTTCCCCAGAAATGCATCTAACATTTCAAAGTGCTCAAAATATACAGGGGCTTCTCCAGTACCTCGAGATCCCATGTTATCTTTTTTGCTAGTGTACCTTTGTTTTAAATATCGCCACTTGTCGTTGCACTGGGTGGAAGTAAAATCAAACCCTCTTTTTTTCATCTCTTCCGAAAGAGTTTTCCAGGTGACATCTTGTTTAGTTTTGGTATTTTTAAATTCTTTGTCAAGTTCAATTCGTATTTCTATTAATAAATCAATTGCCTTTTTGGGCCACTTTGTACGTGGTATGTTTATTGTCGATGAACTTGGTGTTGATGTACTTGGTTCTACTTTTGGAGGTGATGGTGTTGTTTGATTAAGTTGGAACATTTCCAAAATATCTTTGGATGGAGCAACAAAATATAATCTTCCATCTATAATGTACAATAATTAAAAAAATACATGTATTAATCATTTACAAAAATATATCTAACCTGCTAATTGTTGTAAACATATATTACCATCCTCGGATCGGACGATATCACCATTTTCTTCAATAACAATTTGAAAATAAAGAAAATATGGTTGAAATAACTCCATGGAGTTATTTCAACCATATTTTCTTTATTTGCAAAGGAATAACTCCTTGAATAAGAATAACTCGGCACAACAAAACAAAACAAAACATAAACATAAAATATAAATCGCGGGAAAAAGAGCTGTGCGCATGTGCGGCGTTTTTCGCCGGTGTATTGAAAGCGGCGAATCTGGGAACGCCTGAGCGACTCTGTTGATGTATTTATGAACGACAACTTTGTGCGAACTGACCACACCAAAATAATATATGAACAGGTTTGTGTGACCCTAACACCCAAACATTACACCTTTCTAGGTTGACAATAAAACTCTAGCATAGCTTCAATAAAATGTATATATTTAATGTTTATTGCATAAAAATAAATTTTAATTTAAACGTTTTAAAAACAAAATTTTATTTTACTTGTTGTTGCCTCCCCGAGGATTTTGCCCTTCTATTTACACTTTTTCTTCTACTAGGCTTGGCAGCTTTATTGGCCGCCTTTTTCATTAACTTTTTTTGTTTTGATTTATGTATAATGGGACCAAATGTTATTGTATTGGAGAAACCAGGTAGTGCAAAACGCATTCGTTCCTTATCGGCCATAGCGCACCATTTCCTGGAACCTTCAATTGCAACTTTGCAGGTGTGCCAGTTTTGATGGTTTTTCTTAAATTGCCTTAAAAAGTTAATGAAGGGATTGGTATGTAAACGCTTCCTAGATATCTTCCTTTTTAATGGAACTTTTTCAACATTTTCTTGCTTTATTTCAACTTTGACGTTCTTTAAATCAGCTATATTCACATCGGATGCTTTCTTTTTTCTTCTAGACTGTTTCTTCTCGAGTTTTAATACATGCTCACTGACAGATGGAGAAACATTTCTGGATGGCATAGAAACTTGCGACTGCGATTGACCCAATTTCTCCAATTTGCTGAGCGAATTTTTTTGTGTTGAGTTTAAAGTGGACACACTATTATTTACTTCCGATTTAACTATTTTAGAGCCTACCTCTTCTAACGATTCAGCGGTATTTTCAACGGAAATAGCATTACCACAACGCCTACAAAGGTTTCTCTTCGATGATCGTAACTCCGCTGATATTCTGTTAACGGAAAATAACTTTTCGTTTGACGAGACGGGGCTGTCACATTGGCACATAGATGATTTGGTTTTCATGCTGTTTCCACTAATCTTATTATTTAAAACTGTTTTCGATACTTTTTCTATTTTGGCCACCAAGTTAGTACCGCTAGCTTTTGATTTTTTCGTCTCCATTTGAGAACGTGATCTAGGTCGTAATCCATGGTTATTAGTACGAGACATATTTCTACTTGATCTACGTAATGGTAGTCTTTTCCTTGGTATTTTTGATAACGTCCGGGACCGTGATCTTGACAAACTATCACCCATGGAGCGTTTTGTGGCTATGTTAAGTCTCGATGGTGTTTTGATGGACATTTTTCTTGCCACTGTGTTTGATCGGCTTCGTTCTTTCGGTGTCGACTCTACACTTTCTTCCACTGCACTATTGCTACTTTTGTGACAGATGTTCAATTTTTTTGCTCTTGTGAAGGCATATTTCCTTGTCCTGCGCGTTTTACTTTTGCAGTTATCAATGGATGTTTTCGTCTTTGGTTGCGGTTTCTCGTTATATTGGTCCAAGTCATGGTGGCCCTTTACACGGTACTTGCCTAATGAAGGGTTGGATTTAGGATTGGTTCGGCGGTGTTTTCTAAATGGATATGATCGAAAGGAGTTAGACTTTGATCGCAGCCTGGATGCGGTTTTACAATGGCCCGACATACTATCATAAATTTCGATTAACTTCACAAACATAAGACATTGACTTTATAATTTATTTTTTTGACTTTCAAACAAGATTTTTTGTTTCTATCAATAACTGTACCAACCACAATCTAATTGTGGTACCAACTATACAAAACCCAACAATGTATCAAAACTTTTAGATATTATACAGGATATCCTCAAAGTCAATGCGTTAACATTTCACATTTTCTTTGGACCAAAATAAGTTAATTTAAGTACAAAAGTTACTTAGTTAGCGCTATATGGCTAACTATTGTGTTTTGATCTTTCATAATTAAGTAGATATACAGCTCAGGATCCAGATTTTTAACCTCAATTAATTATTTTTTACAATGTTTTAAAAGTCTAAAACCTATTCTCCGTAACTGTTACTCTTTCTAGGTTAACCTATATGTTTTAAAATATCTGATGTAGTAAAATCATACTAAAATATTCACTAAGTAAATTAAACACATCCAAAGCAATCGAATCAAATATAAAATATTGTTAAAAATTAAAAGAAATAATTTTTATAACCATTTATGTAGGTGTTGATTCCATCCTCCGTGAATCTTTTTTGGCTTTAAATTTTATTCAACGGATGGCGCTTTAATCATTTTAAATAAGCAAAAATCTCTGTTTACGACATTAAAGATGCATGTGATACCTGAAGGTCAGTTAAAATTTATATGCAGATGTGAGTGTTGCTGTTTTATAATTCAAAAGTTTAAGTTCATTAATTTGCTATTTAAAAATTATTTTAATTTAACATTTTATTGGTGTTAAGTGAATATGCTAAAAAGGTTACTCCGACATATCAAGAATGTTTAATTAACCAGATTAGCAGATTAGAACAAATATTCTCATTTTGTTCATTTGACTAATATTTGTTGTTTAATTAAACAATACAATTTGACATTTTTAGATGGTTAAGTAAACGTGCAAAAACCATTGCTTATATTTAAAGTGCATAAAGAGTTGAATTAATATTTTTTTGTTGTTTCAACAGCTTATTTTTTTTCAGTGTACTAGCTTAACCTGTTAAATTCATTTATTTTGGTATTAGGAATTAAGTGGTAGGTTTTAAAATTTTTGTAATGGACCAAATTTTATTTTGTTATATAAAATCTTGATTGCTCTAAAATTAAGTATATTTGATTTCATAAAGCTTAAGAAAATGTTTAATATAGGAAATTATTAAAACTTATTTGATAAAAAATTAAAGTAGGTAAAGTAACTTTTAAAACTTTAATGTGTTTGTCTGGGAGTGTCTTTTATTGAAAGTATAAATTTGATATTACTGGAACAAACACAATCAATTTGCTGCAAAGTTTATGGCAGAGAGTTAATTTATTACTGCTGCTTTATTAAAGAAAAATAAATGTATTTCCTGTTCAGCAAGCTTTCAGACTTTATATCCTGTGTTACGAAACTGCTATTTTTAAATTTAAATCTTCTCGGCATTGCTTTGTTTACCAGCAGAATATTTTCTGAAAGTAAAAACACAAATTTAAAAAATACGCTATAAAATTGTAAAAAGGGGTAAAAATTTAAAAAAAGCGTCTAAATATACACTGCTCTCTTAAAATGAATTAGTCAAAAATAACTAATAATAATAATAATTATTATAAGTCATATTTGACTAATTATCATAGCGAAAAAGTAGTCACTAATAATTAGTCAAATTCTACTGAATAAAATAGTCAAATTAGTAGATTTAAATTTTAAAAAAGTTTTGACCCAGCCGGGAATTGAACTCAGGTTTGTCGCTTGTCAAGCAGTTATCTATCATAACCCATTTTTCTATTTTCTGTTAGGCGCTCTTATATAAATCAATTTTATTTTTCAATAAATATTGTTCATAATATTTTTAAGTTGAATATATTATTTGTGTTGATGTTTTGAGCTAAACTTTTTGCATCTTTATTTGTTTGTATGGGCCATTAAACCATGGAGCCTAGGTATATGCCTTTAATTCAAATATTACTTTGTTTTTGGCCCCAAACGATTAAAGAAATTAGTTACTTTTAACTCTCAGAAATAGACTAATCTAAAATTAGTCAAACTTTAACTATTTACGTAGAAATAATAACTATTTAAAAGTGAAAACGACTTTTTTATTAGTAAAAAATGCTGGTACTAATTCAAATAGTAGAATTTTGACTATTTCATTTTTAGAGAGTGGACTAAATGGTACAATACAATTTAATTAATTAAATAAAACAAATCTAAACACCTTTAACTTAACAGTTCAAGTGCATATTAATGGTGTGAAAATTCAACAAAAATTTGGCACCATATCGAAAAAATTGTAAGGGTTTCTTTTTATTTTTCCCTCCAGTTGCCATTTTTATTAAAAATAGCACAAATTTGTTTACAGATATGTTCTAGTTATTTGCTTATTATAACCAGTTTGATACCATAGATAAAGCCTTGGTTTGACACCAATTCCCAATTAACCTGTCAACTTGTTCACAAACTACTTTATAAACTTTTTTATCAATTTTGAAAAATCTTAATTTGACGTTGCAAGGCGTTTTTTGGTTTCAATTTGAATGTGTGACTATTTTAATTTTGAATTTGTTTATTCTTATTTTGAATATGACTAATCCCAACATGAATCTGATTAGTTTTTAATTTGAAACTGACAAGTCTTAATTTAAAGTTGAAAAGGTAAAGTAACCACTACAGGTCTGCCACTGTGACTGAATTTATTAATATACGAGGTGTGTTCAGAAAATAACGGGAATTGTTGAATTTCGCGGGTTCGAAGGGTCCGGTTGTCATAAAATTTTCTGTATTATGTTGGTATACAGACCTCCGAAGTATGATAAAAACTTTAGCTGTTTTCATTGTTTACTTTGTCTGTAGCAGCCGCTAAGGTTAGACGTGTTTTATGAGCTCGGCGATTTTTCGTTCGTTAAAAGATATGGATCAAAGAATTTGTATGCAATTTTAAAATGAAATAAATTCTGTGAAATGTTAACAAAGGCCTATAGTTAGTCTGCTATAAGTAAAACAAGAGTTTACAAGCGGTATAAGAGTTTCCAAGATGGCCGTGAAGACGTTGAAGATGACGAACGCCCCGAACGCACAAGCACATTCACAACCGATAAAAACATGGAAAAAGTGGAAGAAGTGGTTATAAACCATCAGAGAATTTGATGATGATGTTGGTATATCGATTGGCTCATTCCATGAAATTTCTTCAAATGTTTTGGGTATGAAACGCTTGGCAGCAAAATTTATTATAAATTATTATTATTATAAAATTGTTAAATTTTGAACAAAATTTTTGGCCAAAAACAATACTGTAATGATGCCCCAGCCTTCATATTCGCCAGACATGCCTCTGTCTGACTTTTTCCTATTCCCAAAAATAAAGAGAAGGGCCGTCGTTTTGCAAGCAAAGATGACATTAAAAGCGCATCGCTGAAAGAACTAAAGGCTATTCCAAAGATCGAGTTTTAGAAATATTTCGAGTATTGAAAGAAGAGCTGGCATATGTGCATAATATCCAATGGGGACTATTTTAAAGGCGACAACATTAATGTAGACGAATAAATAAATATTTGTTTCAAAAAACGAAAATTCCCGATATTTTCTGAACACACCTCGTATATCATATATCACATATTATGTGTTTGATTGTATTTTTACACTAAATTACACTTTTGCAGTATAAATTTTACTTAACATCACAGATATTACAATTACGATTGATTAAGAAACCGAAGTTTGACTTTATTAAACATTTTGGCCCATAGTCGATGAGCTTCATAATAAATCTTATCCTTGCTCCAATTGACATGCTTTTTTTCACATAACTTTAAAAATTTTGATGAGGGTCCCATAAAAACACTAGTTGCTTGATTAACCTTCATCTTGCCAGATTTTCCGTTAGATCGCCCTTCCTTGCAGTTTCCTTTTTTTTGCGAGCTTTTTGAATTTTTATTACCATTTTGACTTTTTGACGATTTGCTTCCTTTTATAGGTTTTTTTGTTTTTAGTTTTGGTTTACTTTTGGATTTTGATTTAGATTTTTTGGATTTACACTTTCCTGACTTTCCGCGTTTATTTGTTTTTAGTTTGGGTTTGCCATTGGATTTGGATTTTGACGATTTGCTTTTGGATTTGGATTTTTGGCTTTTACACTCTCCTGACGATTTGCCGTTGGATTTAGATTTTTGGCCTTTACCCTCTCTCGACGATTTGCTTTTGGATTTGGATTTTTCGCTTTTACGCTCTCTCGACGATTTGCCTTTGGATTCGGATTTTTGGCTTTTAGGATCCCTCGACGATTTGCTTTTGGATTTGGATTTTTCGCTTTTACACTCTCCTGACGATTTGCTGTCGGATTTGGATTTGGATTTGGATTTGCTTTCGGATTTGGATTTTTTGCTAGGATCTCTCGACGATTTGCTTTTGGATTTAGAGTTTTGGCTTTTACACTGACCTGACGATTTGCCTTTGGATTTGGATTTTTGGATTTGACGCTGTCTTAACGATTTGCTTCCGGATTTGGATTTTTGGCTTTTACGCGGTCTCGAAGATTTGCTTTTGGATTTGGATTTTAGGCTTTTACGCGGTCTCGAGGATTTGCTTTTGGATTTGGATTTCAGCCTTTTACGCGGTCTCGACGATCTGCTTTTGGATTTGGATTTTTGCCTTTTACGCTGTCTGGACGATTTGCTTTTGCTTTTTGATTTGGATTTTTGTCTTTTACGCTGACTCGACGATTTGCTTTTAGATTTGGATTTTTGATTTTGAAGCTGTCTTAACAATTGTAGTCTTTTCTTGAGTTTTTTTTGTTTTAGTTGGCAATCACATTCCGGCTTTGGTTTTCTTTTTCTACGTTTTCTTTTTTTTGATTTTTTTGATTTTTTACGTTTTTTACGCGATCGGCGCCTGAAAACAATAACTTAAGTCAATAATATATAGTAGTAAATTTTCTTTTAAAATAAAAGCAAAATACAGTGTGTCCACGGATGGACTTAACTATACTTGTAAAAATATTTATTTTCAATTATTGTTATATAAATACGATTCGCATTAAGCAAAAATACTGATTTTCAAAATTTAAAATTTTTTATACTTGTTTTGAAGCGCTAATAATAAGAGTTGGTAAGGAGAAATCAAAAACAAAAGAGTAAACCCGCTAAACATAAATATATTTCCTGAATTAATACGAACGTTAAAGGCTCTATTGAAAAATTGCTTTTTTTGACTTATCCCCTTATGCCTTTTACTACTTTTCTACTTTTAATAATTAATTAAATATTAGTATATAGTATTGTTTAACAAATAAAATTATGCTATGAAGATACAATGTTGTATGTCATGTAAGTAACTGTACATAATTTAATCATAATTATTTTATTGAAAACTACAAATACAATTTTGTTCATAGCATACGGTATTGTTTAACAAATAAAATTATGCCTTTAGGATAAAACGTTGTATGCCATGTGGATATTAAATGTATGATTGTTTTAATTTTTTTTTACAAAAATACAATTCCCAATACAGATGTCCTTGGCTTTACACCGAATTTTATTTTTACCAAGTCGGTAAATCAAAATAAACGTAAATTTACTTACCTTTTTTTGGGTTTGGGTTTTTCGCATTCCTTTTCATCATCGCCCCAGAAAAAAGAAGAGCACTCTGTTTTTTTTTGTTTTGATGAATCATTATCTGCGTTTTGTATGGAATCCATTTACATTATAATTTTGAACATTATTTTGCGAAAATTTGGCATAAATTTTGACTTACGTTTGAAACAATTAAAACATCAGTTCTCATACTGTTTTGTCAACAAATGTCTACCATTAGCATTAAGTAAACTTTATCTAATCAAATTTTGTAAATCTAATACCGAGTTTTGAACTAAACCTCACCTTTGTTTGGTTATACTAAACCAGATTTATATTAAAAAAGCAGGTGTGTCAGTAAATGGACACACGACAGAAGCTACTCTTTTAATTTAAAAAAAGTTTGTGAGTTAAATACTTGGGAATAATTCTAAAAAGGAAACTTAGCTGGTGGAGTCATCTAAATCATAAAGTTCAAAAGGCATCAGTGGGCTTCGGTCGTCTATAATAATAATATTAAATAAATTGCACATTCTTTGGCACATTTTACAATAAAGTTGATACCACATTTAGCAGAAATCCTGTTAAACTTGTCACACACAATATATAAAGGAGACCTTAGTATAATGTTTGTCTTGCATGGTGGCACATAAAATGTTTGACTTGTCTTGTTGATTGTCTTGGTATTAAGAAATTGAATATAGATAAAAGACGCATACAATCAATCTTATTCTGAACCAGCATGGTTACAAACCTTATGGAATATACCACCCTTCTACTCTCCAGACTTGCAAAGTTAAACATATCCAGAAGTACCTCATTATTAAATCATCTCTCAGGATAGGTACCTTGAGTTTTAAGGTAGATAAATGTTAAGTATTTGTGGTGGACTTTCTCAATTTTAGTTTTGTGAGTAGAATAGAGAATGCCAAACCCAAATAACAGTTATGCCTAGCCAAGAAAAATGCAAAATACGCCACTTGCCGATTGGAGCAAGAAATACGTAGGTCCAGGAGCTACTTCTGTCTTGCCCCAAACGAGTATCAGTGGCGGAGTGTGGATTTTGGGTAGGTATACGAATATACAAGTTCTGCGCAAGCAGAATTTAAATTGAAGTTTGCGAAAAAAAGTTAGTTTTTCAGCGCTCCTCACCAGCCCCTAATTAAGATTATTTAAATTAAAGTGGTGCAATTCATAATTCACTAAATCGTCAAATTTCAAAATTTATTTAAAAAATCTAAGAATTACAGATTTCGTACCATTAAATTTTTATTATTCTTTTAATTAAAATTTAAGATATATCATCAAAAGTTACCTTTACAAAAATTGAAATATGACAACGTAATGATATTGGCAAGACAATACGTTCCCAAGAATGATTTACCTTTTTATGAAAATCTAACATTCTACCAAGATGATGATAACGGTGGAGTCGAATATACTGACGATGATGAAAATGAATAAATACAGTTATATTACTAAAAATATAATGTAATAAATCAACTAAAAAATTTTTCTAGAATGAGAGAATTTGCATCGCTGGGGCAAAAAGGAGGTAGCTCCGGTAAACAAATCAGAATTATGTGATTTGTGTTTAATTTTTTTACAAGATTTTTGGTGTTAATTTCTAAGTAAGTAGGTACGTTAGATAAAAATGTACAAACGAAGCTCGCGACTCAATTTTGCAGGTCTAACCAATCTTAAAAGGAACTAATTATAACAATCACAAAAACAGCTTCATTAGTATATGTTGGAGTTTAAAGTCAAAATTGACTGAACTCCACTGTGGGTTGATTTAAAAACAACATCCTGCAAATCGTAAGAGGCAACACACGGCTTCTGTATATTAAACATTGATAACTTCATGTCTTCAACATTACTTATTATATTTAATTTTTTTATTTAATTTGTCTTCAACTTCAACCCACAATCCACACAACAAGGTCTGTTCGATCTCGTACCAAAAATACTAAAAATCACTGCCCTGTACTGTACAAGCCCTGTTAAAATAAGGTTTATTTTTTACAAAAGAGAAGTAGAATGATTGTTCTTACCACTTTGAGGTCTCTTTTAATGCTTGTAAGTCTCTCTGTAAGAAACACAACGTTTAAAACTATTATTAATCTGAACAAACCCAAAGCACAAAAATTGTAAACAACAAAAATGGCCGCCAACCTGTGCAGTGTTGCAGTGATTTTTTGTATTTTTAGTACGAGATAGAACAGACCTTATTGTGTGGAATGTGCTTATATCCACCTATTTTGGCCTAACGCTTTAACTTTGATATCCTGTATAATATCTAAATGTTTTAATTTACTGTTGGGTTTTGTATAGTTTTGTATATTGGTGCCATAGTTTTTGTATGGTTGGTGCAGTTTTGGCTCTAAACAAAAAATCTTGATTAGATGTCAACTACTTATTTAAATTGTTAAGTCAATTTCTGATGTTTGTAAAGTAAATCTAAATTTATGGTAGTATGCCAGGCCACCGCAAAACCGCCTCCAGGCTGCGATCAAGGTCGAATTCCTTTCGATCATATCCATTGAGAAAAAATCCCAAATCCAACTCTTCATTGGGCAAGTACCGTGTAAAGGACCACCATGACCAATATAACGAGAAAACGAAATCCATTGATAACTGCAAATTTAAAACGCGCAGAAAAAGAAAATATGTCCTCACAAGATCAAGTGAATTAAATATCTGTCACAAAAATAGCAAAAATTCAATGGAAGAAAGTATAGAGTCAATACCGAGAGAACGAAGCCGATCAAAAACAGTCGTCAGAAAAATGTACATCAAAACACCATCGAGACTCAAAATAGCCACAAAACGCTCCAGGGGTGAAAGTTTATCAAGATCACGGTCCCAAGCAACAGTAAATATACCTAAAAAAAGACTACCAAAATTACATAGATCAAGTAGAAATATGTCTCAAGTGGAGGCAACAAAATTAACAGCCAGTAGTACCAACTTGATGGCCAAAATAGAAAAAGTATCGAAAACAGTAAATTATAAAAGTAGTACAAACAGGAAATCTATGTGCAAATGTAACAGCCCTGTATCATCAAACGAAATGTTATTTTCCGTCAACAGAATATCATCGGACTTGGGATTGAAGAAAAACTTTTGTAGGCGTTGTCGTACTGATATTTTCGTTCAAAATTCCGCTGCATCCTTGGAAGAGGTACCCTTCAAAACAGTTAAACCAGAAGTAAATAGTGTGTACACATTAAACTCAACACAAACAAATTCGATCAGCAATTTGGAGAAATTCGGTAAATCGCAGTCGCAACTTTGTATGCCGTCCAGAAATGTTTCCTTAGCTGTCAGTGAGGATGTTAAGCCTGTATTGAAACTCGAAAATATACAGACAACAAAAAAGAAGAAAGCATCCGATATGATTATAGCTGATTTAAAAAACGTCAAAGTTGAAATAAAGCAAGAAAATGTGCAATTAAAGAGAAAGACAACTAGGAAGCATTTACACAGCAATCCCTTCATAAACTTTCTAAGGCAGCTTAAGAAAAACCACCGGGACTGGCATACCTGCAAAGTCGCAATTGAAGGTTCTAGAAAATGGTGCGCTATGACCGATAAAGATAGATTCCGTTCTGCACAGCCTCAAAAAAAAATTAATAAAAATGCGGCAATTAACACTGTTAAGCCTAGTAGAAGAAAGAGTGTGAATAGAAGGGCGAAGTCTTCGGGAAGGCAAAGAAAAGTGAAATAAAAATTTGTTTTTAAAACGTTTAAATTATACTTTATTTTAATGCATGCAATAAACATTAAATGTATATATAGGGGTTCCAGTGCCAAGATCCACTTAGCCCCGGTTGACGGAATTTAACATTTTGCCTGGCATTTTAGGTTATGTTTGTTTAGTTCCAAAAAGAATTGACTTTTTCTTAACAACTGATTAAAATTACAATAAAAATATCGAGACACTACCTAAAAATAAATTGAAAATACTAAACACAAAAGAAACTGAAACTGAATACCGTTTAAAGCAATGTAAACACTCAACTCATTGAAAACACGGAAAAATTCAACAACGCCAATGAACAGAAACCAGAGGTTTTAAAAGAAACTTCAATGTCAATGTCTACAGTAGACATACATGCATACACAATCCACACAACAAGGTCTGTTCTATCTTATTCTAAAAATACTAAAAATCACTGCAACACTGCTTAACGGCGGCCATTTTTGTTTACAACTCTTGTGCTTTGGGTTTGTACTGTTTAATAATTGTTTTAAACGTTGTGTTTCTTACAGAGGCACTTGTAATCCTCAAATAAGGCCTTTAAGTACCAAGGCCAGCCATTTTACTCCTCTTATAAAAAATATACCTTATTCTATCAGGGCTGTCAAATGTCAATTTGAAGGTTAATTTGTGGGTTATAAATTAACCTTAAAATTTACACTTGCCAGTTTGATGACAGCCCTGATAGAATACGATTCATTTTCTACAAGAGGAGTAAAATGGTTGTTCTTAGAACTTTAAGGCCTCATTTGAGGCTTACAAGTAACTCTGTAAGGAACACGATGTTTAAAATGATTATTAATCTGAAGATAATCCCGCTAGAGTGCATTCTTTACTGGTTACTATAGAAGTTTTGGCTCTGGGGTACAGAACTAGTTTAATTTTTACTTAAAAACATTGGCGTCCTGAAGTATGACATTCCTTTTTAAAAGGTTAGTAAACAGTCGGACAAAATATTTTTAAATAGTTTTAAGACTACAATGTTTCCCAGCAATTTTTAAAGCTCCTACGTTTAACCTAGGCTGCCGCTTTTTTGCTACCCAGAATTTTTTATTTTTTAATTTGGCATCTCCATTGCTATTAGCACGCCCTATTTTTACCTGCGGCGCGAGTTCTGTGACACCCTGTTTACATTTTTAATGTTAATTGCATAAAAGAAACACTATAATTTACGTTTTAAAAGTAAAATTTTATTTCACTTGTCTATGCCTTTCCGAAGAGTTTGCCCTTCTATTAACACTTTTTGTTCTACTAGGCTTGACAGCGTTGATTGCCGCATTTTTAATTTTTGTTTTGTTTTTATGTATAATGGGACAAAATGTAGTCGTATTATAGAAACCAGGCGGTGCAAAAGGTACTCTATCTTTATCGGCCATAGCGCACCATTTTCTAGAACCTTCAATTGCGACTTTACAGGTATGCCAGTCCTGGTGTTTTTTCTTAAGTTGCCTTAGAAAGTTTATGAAGGGATTGCTGTGTGGACGCTTCCTAGATATCTTCCTCTTTAATTGAACATTTTCCTGCTTTATTTTAACTTTGACGTTCTTTAAGTCAGCTATATTCATATCGGATGCTTTCTTCTTTCTTTTTGTCTGCTTCTGCTCGAGTTTTAATACAGAATTAACATCCACACTGACAGCTGGGAGAACATTTCTCGATGGTATAGAAAGTTGCGATTTACCCAATTTCTCAGATTTGCTGAGCGATTTTTTTTCTGTTGAGTTTAAAGTGTTCACACTATCATTTACTTCCGATTTAAGTGTTTCAGAGCGTACCTCATCCACCGATGCAGCAGTATTTTCAATGGAACCATAACGTTTACAAAGGTTTCTTTTCGACGATCTTAATTCCGCTGATATTTTGTTAACGGAAAATAACCTTTCGTTTGATGAATCGGGGCCGTCACATTTGCACATAGATGATTTGGTTTTCATCCTGTTTTTACTACCCTTACCATTTACAACTATTTTCAACACTTTTTCTATTTTGTCCACCAAGTTGGTACCACTAGCTTTTGATTTTTTTGCCTCCACTTGAGACAAATTTCTACTTGATCTACGTAATTTTGATAGTCTTTTTCTCGGTATTTTTGCTGGCGTTTGGGACCGTGATCTTGCTAAACTCTCACCCCTGGAGCGTTTTGTGGCTATTTTGAGTCTCGATTGTGTTTTGACGGACATTTTTTTCGCGACTGTTTTTGATCGCCTTCGTTTCTTCGGTATTGACTCTATACTTTCTTTTACTGCATGATTTCTATTTTTGTGACAGATTTTTGATTTCCTTGATCTCGTGAAGTCTCGTTTTCTTGTTTTGCGCGTTTTAATTTTTCTCTTATCAGTGGATGTTTTCGTCTTTGGCTTCGTTTTCTCGTTATATTGATCTAAGGAGTTTAAGTCTTGGTGGCCCTTCACACGGTACTTGCCCAATGAAGAGTTGGATTTCGGATTGGTCAGGTGGTGTTTTTTTTCAATGGATATGATCGAAAGTTCGACCTTGACCGCAGCCTGGAGGCGGTTTTGTAATGGCCTGGCATACTACCATAAATTTCGATTTACTTTACATTCAGACATTTACTTTAAAATTTAATTTTTTGACATTTAAACAAGGTTTTTTGTTTCAAGCAAAAACTGCAACAACTATACAAAACCCAACAATGTATAAAACATTTAGATAATTTACTGGATATCCTTAAAGTTAAAGCTTTAACATTACAAATATTCCTTGGGAAAAATAAGCACAAATTTATCAAAATCATAATTTGAACGTGTTCCAAAAAATATAAAAAAAAATGGGTTGTAGCACGAAACTTAATTAGTAGAAGTAGTAGTAGAGTATAAAGTGTATAACTTTTCAATTAAGAAAAAAACTTAAATCGAACAAAGGCCTGCGTCATGTGCGTAGTATGCTGAAGTATGGCTGCTTGGCTGCTTGTAGTGGAAAAAGGATTTTTAGTAGCTGACTTTTTACTTGAGGTATAGAATTAAATAATAAAATTGTTTAGCTTTGTGCAGATTAAACGTAACACCTTTTGCCAGATTGGCTATAGCATGCTGTTTACATGTTACGTCACGCGATTTTATATCTTTTTCGAACCCCCTACCGGGTTTACAAAAAGTCATAAAGGCTTTGTTATCTATGAAACGTACTACCCACGCTCCCCTAGTGACGTCACAAATGTCCGAAAATTTGAACATATTTTATAATAACCTTAGAAATTTCCCTAACAAACTTATCTTTAATAGTCAGGTTTTCGACATATGTGAATTTTAATATAATGTTATTACATCACAATCCACACAACAAGGTCTATTCTATCTCATGCTAAAAATACTAAAAATCACTGCAACACTGCACAGAGTTTAACGGCGGCCATTTTTGTTGTTTACAATTCTTGTGCTTTGGGATTGTGCTGTTTAATAATTGTTTTAAACGTTGTGTTTCTTATTATTATTATTATTATTATTCTATCAGGGCTGTCAAATGACAATTTGAAGGTTAATTTGTGGGTTACAATTTAACCTTAAAATTGACATTTGACAGTTTTATGACAGCCCTGATAGAATAAAGTTTATTGTTTACAATAGAGGAGTAAAATGATTGTTCTTAGTACTTTAAGGACCCTTTTAAGGCTTACTATGAGAAACACAACGTTTAAAACGATTATTAATCTGTATAAACAAAGCACAAACCCAAAGCACACAAATTGTAAACAACAAAAATGTCCGCCGTTAAATTGTGCAGTGTTGCAGTGATTTTTTGTATTTTTAGTACGAGAATAGACCTTGTTGTGTGGATTGTGATTAACATTATCTTGCTAGCAGAGCGTCAAAAGTTACTATGGTATGTGTTAAATGCAGTGGCGTATTTAGGGGGGGTCCGCCGGGTCCGGACCCCCCCCGGGCGCACATATTTTATTATTTTTATTACAAAAAAAGTTCATTTTATTTACTATTTTATCGGATCAGAAGAGTTCCTAATTTGTGATTTTTTAGTTATTAAAGCATAGCATATACGCTATGCTTTTGGACCCCCCCCGGAGCTAAATCCTAAATATATTTAGGATTTAGCTCCGGGGGGGTTCAAAAAAACTAACTAAATATGTATACATATTTAGTTAGTCTTTTTGGACCCCCCCCGGAGCTTAATCCTAAATACGCCACTGGTTAAATGGTACCAGTTAAATTAACATATTTTGGTCTAAGGAATTAAGTGGTAGATTCAAGAGTTAACCATGTAATGGACCGAATTTTATTTTGTTTATCTAAAAGTTTGATATTGATTTAATGTATAAACGGTTTAAAATAATGTTTATGGGTAAATAAAGTTGGAAGGTTTCGAGGAAAATTGTTTGGTCAATTTTAAAAACTGAACATGTTCAAAACTTATTTTATAAAAAATTAAAGCCCTAACTTTTTAAAACTTGTGTTTGTCTGGGAGTGTCTTAAAATTATTAAAGTATAAATTCGATATTACTGGAACAAACACAATCAATTTGCTGCAAAGTTTATGGCAGAGAGTTAAATTATAACTTCTGTTTTATTAAAGTAAAATAAATATATTTCCTGCTCGGCAAGCTTTTAGACTATATACTGTGTTACGAATCTGTTATATTTTAAATTAAATCTTATTCGCCCTGTTTCGTTTTTCAGCAGAATATTTTCTGGATAAATAAAACACAAAATTAAAAAATACGCCATCTATATTTTTATTATTAAATCATTCAACCAATCTCTTAAAAATTGTAAAATGGGGGTAGCAATCTTAACAAAGCTTCTAATCTAAGGTATACTCTGGACTTGTTTATAAATAATCAGTATTGGGCCCAATGGTACAATCAAATATATTTAAATAAATAAAACAGATCTAAACACCGGTATCTTTAACAATTAACATTCAAGTGCACATTAGTGTGTGAGGATTCAACAAGAATTTGGCACAATATAAAAAAAATCACATCCATATTTGAAATTTAAAATGTGGGGTCTTCGTTTGTCCATGTACTATGCTCCACACCTCAAAGTCCCACCACGTGACCACGTACGGAACGCAGTCTTTTGAAAATTTGGTATTTAAGGCTTTTCAGGTTATGTATCTGTCAAAGTATAGTCAACGAAAGAAATAATATTATGTTTAGCCGTTAAAAATGTATAAATCTTTATAACATTACAATAACAATGGATGGTTTAAGAATTTAAGAATATAAATACTGCATTTAATGAAATTCTAAAGTGTATGGTGCCAAATAAGTAATATTTTTTTGCATTTGGTCCAAATATCTAGTTTTCCTCCATAAAATAATTTTAACTAAATAGGATTTATTAAAAAATATCTAGCTTCTCTACATATTATGGAATAAGAATATCTGTATTAAAGGTAGGTTAATATATTATAACAAAAATATCATCTAATTTTGTAATTTTATGGTTTGAAAAATTCATTTTGACTAAAATAAATAAGTATTTTGGATTATTTAAAAGACTGTATAATATGGTATTTAAAAATGTGGTTTTTCTTATCCAGCTTAAAGTGTACCTACATAAAGTTTTGTCAATACAAATAGTTAAAAAGCTTCCACTAAATTTGATCTACATTGAAAAATCATTATAACTTTTAAATTTTTAATAAATCACATTTCAGTATTAAATATTTTCACATTGCAAGTTTCTCTAAAAATGGTTTGTTTTTTTATAATCTAACTTAAAGTAGGTATGCCGAGAGGTATGCACAAGTTTTGTCATTAGAAGTATAAAAGCTTCATTTTAATTTGAACACTATTCAACAATTATTTAGTATACCTATATTTATTTACGACCAAATTAACACACTCTTCCAAATAATCCACTTATTTATTTTGGTCAAAATAGATTTTTCTAACCTTAAAATACAAAATTAGATGAAATATTTTGTTCTAATACATTAATCTACCTTTGATACAGATATTCTTATTTCACAATAGAGAAGTTAGATTTTTTTTAATAAATGCTGTTTAATTAAAACTATTTTATGGAGAAATGTAGACCCAATGCACAAAAATATCACTTATGTATATTGCACCTTACACTTTGGAATTTCATTAAATGCAGTATTTATATTCCTAAATTCTTAAACCAACCATGTTATTGTGATAATATAAAGATTTATTAACTTTTAACGCTTAAGCATAAGCGGTAACACTATAAATATGATTTCTTTCATTAACTATACTTTGACAGATATATAACCTGAAAAGCCTTAAATGCCAAATTTTCAAAAGACTGTTCCGTACTTGGTCACGTGGTGGGACATTGAGGAGTGGAGCATAGTACTGTAAAACGCAACAACGGCGGTCATGGTGGTACTCAAATTTCAAGCATTTTTTGTTTATGTGGGTAAACGCGCTTTTTAGCAGAACACTAATATGTTTCTAGCTCATTAGCAAATCGTTAAAGCTACTGGATCTTCAATAAAGTGGGTATCATATTATGCGTTGCTCTTCCATAAACGGGTCCATTGCAAAATAATTACTTGAAGCGCTTTATAATCTGACTGCCTTCATGACCAAACCCCTTTTTCTAAACCCTGTACAAAATAGGTTTAATTCAAACATTATAAATTTTATGATGGAAACATTTACAAAAATATAATAATCAGAGAGTATTAAAATCTGCTTTAATAAGTAGTTATTAATACTTTCTATAATTGACTATTACTTTTTTAACCCTAAACTTGCTATTTAACAATCTTAAAATAACCTAATCAACAAAAATACTTAGTCCGGGAGGAAGTGAAGATTTTCGGTACTTATTTTTCCAGTCGGCAAACACCGATACAATTATTGGGTTTGTTATTCTGAGCAAAATTTATATATATTTAGGGGGGGGTTTTCCGATGGGTTAAGGCGGAAAATGCGTTATAAAGTACAAATATATTGCACTTTTTTTTTCAGTGATAAAAATAATTCCATTAGTGAGAGATATAGTGAACTTAAGAAAAAAAATAGTCTGGCTAATCTGTGAGTATGGGTAATATGTCTGGCAGGTGGAAAAATTATCAAAACCAATGCCCTTATTTTCGCAGTCCTAAAAATTTTGTGAGATGATAGTTTATATTATAATTACAGCTGCAGATATAGACTATAGTCTGGCTAATGTGGAACACTCCGAAAGCCTTGCCAGACTCGTCCAACCCTCCACAGGCGCGCTAAATTCGGCATGTTCAATTATTCAGGCGATTGTTGTCATCTCTACATGTTTTTACTTTTCATAATGTATGATAAGAAAATAATTTGTGTAAAGCAAAATTTAAATATGGCTAAAAAAAATGTCAGTCCGTCCGCCACCAAAAAACTTTATTCGCGAATAACTTTGTAACTATCAGAGATACGAGAAAAGTCTGGCGGGGCTTTCGTGATTGTAAATAACAGCCAGACGTGTATTTTCTACGAAATTATAGTATTATTTATCATGTGACAAATTTTCAAATCCGGGAAAATAAGAGCAAAATTTTTGTAATTCATACGATTTTCAAGATGCCGCCAGAACAATTTGCCAATTTCATAAATCAGCCAGACTTAATTTTGATTATAGTTTATGACAGTACCAAATAATGGGTTAAATTTTAAACATGGGAAAATAAGGGCTACGTATTTTAAAAACCGGTCAAATTTTTGCTTCCGCAAATTTTCAGCCAGACTGACTTTCCTTTACTTGGGATGTGCCAGACTGTTATTTCCATTAATAAAATGACTCACTTTAATTAATGTGAAATATTTATGACTGGGAAAATAAGTGGACTTAACTTTTTGGCTCATCTAGTGAACCCATCCAAAAATTTTAGCCAGACACACAAATTGTCGTTTTGTGTCACCATTTGAACAAACTTAATGACATTCACAAACTGGGAAAATAAGAAGATAAAAATCTTCACTGCCTCCCGGACTAACTGCAGGTCCACCAAAAATGTAACATTTTTATTTTGCTACATATACATTTTATAGTAGTTTAAAAGTAATTCACAAGCGGGGTTCCTCCTAAAAAGGTTTTTTCGTTGTTAAGTCGCTAATAACCAAAGTAGTTAATAAATAGAAGGACTAAACGCGATTTGGCAAAATAAAAATGAAAACAATTTGGAGTGAACCTATCCATTGGTTGACTAGTTTATGTAAACCTACACATAAGAATCATTTAATTGATCACTTGAGTTACTAACTAAACGGTTATCACAAACTTTCTCGTTATCGTTGGTATCCAGGTTGAACAACTCCTCGTTGGGAGTTTGAAGGGCAGAAAACTCGGTACTGGGCGACTGAAACGCGTCCGCGTCCAAAGAATTCCGAGATTGGTTCGAGGAGTACGTCATCTCCGTGCTGGGGGATTTTCCCATGTCAAAATCTGGGGATTTTACGTTGGCCAGGAAAGAACTACGCCGCAGTTTCACTTGGTTTTCCACAATGCTGACTAAAACTTCAGTGGAACTGCCTATTGCCAATGCAGGAACGCTTGCTAGACCTATGTCTGATTCCATAACTTTTGGGGGATTAAGCTCTAAAAATAATATTATTATTAAATAAAGATATGCTGTCCAAAGTAAAAAAAAAAACCGTTAACTAAATTTTGACTAAAACTGAGAAAAAGGCTAACATTTGTAACAGAAATCGTGGAATCAAATTGGTTTAATATTACTGCGCTCGCTAAATGCCTTCAATACTTTGTACAAAAGTTAATCAACATTATTATCAGATATTTTAACCTAAGATACAAGATTTACAACATACAGTTAACGCTTTTGTAATAGCAAAAAGATCTCAGACTCGAGCGGGTTCCCTTTACAGAAAAACGTTAAGTGGAAAGGGGTTTTTATTTTAGTAAAGTAGCTCATTCAAAGCATTTGCCAGTGTTGATGGTAATACTGTAGCCCAAACTATTGCTCCTTCACAAAATATGAAACTGCTAACTGAACGTCAGTCTATTGCTGTTCTTTCGGATTTTCCAGGAATTATGTAATTTACAGCAGGGTCATTCCACGTTAAATCGAACACAATAATAAAAAAAATCCGCACCGTCACAAATATTGTGTAGATTATTAAATAATTTAAATAAGCTAGAATAACCAAAAAATCTTAATTTTAAAGATTCTACGATAACTTAGGCCCATGACCCATGGCGCCATGAATATGACCATGATATTCCTGTATTTTCGACCGCTAACAATGAATCTGCGCTTTTAGGAAAAAAATATTAACGCTTGTCTAAAAAACAAGATTATCATTAAAAAAATTTAAACCAAATATACAGGGTGATCACAAATTAAAAAAACATGAAAATGCTTGAAGGGAAAATTACCTTAAGTTTAACGAGAAAATTAATTCTTTATTTAAATTATTAAAAAAATTAGTTTTCCATAAAAAAATTCATTTAATGTACCCTGTAGAAATTGAAAAAACTTAAAAATGCTTCAAGAGAGAAGTACCAATTTATTACACAGTGCAACAGCAAAAAAAAATGATCTGAAAGTGGTTTTCGTTTCTCCTATCCAAAGAATGCCTTTTTGCGTTTACAGAATGTTTAAATTGATTCAGTTTTTTTTTAATATCGATTTTAGGTTTTATTAATTTTGGAACCCGAAAACCGTTATTTATTAATTTAAACAAAAAAAAAATGATGGGGTTCTGAAAGTGGTTTTCGTTTGTCCTATTCAAAGAATGCCTTTTTGCGTTTACAGAATGTTTAGATTGATACAGGTTTTTTTTATATCGATTTTAAGGTTTATTAATTTTGGAACCCGAAAAACTGTTATTTATTAATTTAAACCAATTAACTGGTAGGAAATTGTTGTTATAACTAAAGATGGGATATTTAGGTACTAAAAACTGAAAAATAGGTAACTAAAAAGGTACTAAAATAAAGCATTTTAGGTTAAAAAAACAGCATTTTAGGTAAAAAAAAACATTAAAAGTTCAAGTTTCGTTTATAATTTTGTTTAGCCGCATACCCAAACACAGAACATACCCACAATAAACTATTTCTATGCAATAAACTGTGTTTCAGTGAGTGACACTCACTACACAGAAGTTCTATGACAGAACATAAGCTCACTACAAGGAAGGTAACTGTAAAGAAAGTTACTGTTACAGTCTGTGACCATAAGAAAAAATTCTATACCGTTGGCGCAAAATTTAAAAAGAACACAAAAAAATAAAATAAGTAAAAATACGTATAAAAAGGTAGTTTAAAGCAAAAACCTCCAAAAAAGATAAAAATCGTGAAAACAAGTTAAAAAAATAGGTAACAAAAGTATGAAAAAGGTAGTTTAAAGCAAAAACCTCCAAAAAAGGTAAAAAAGGTGAAAAACAAGTTAGGTTCGTATAAAAGAAAATCTTTTAAAACACATTTTGGCATTATTGGTTTTCAAATAGTTACATCGGTTGAAAAAAGGTAAAATAACTAAAATCCCATCCCTATAGTTATAACGATAAATTAAAAAGAAATAATAAAAAATAAAACTAAAATTAAGAATGGGGGTAAACATGTCACTAAAAATACATTTACTCCTGTTTAAAAATCAGCTGTCCACCGAATCAGAAGAGCATCAAACAATAATGGAAATGGAAAATCGTTATAGAGGAAAGATGTTTGATTCGATGTTGGCAGATTTTTGTTGGTCTATGGCAATGGAAATTTTGGCATAAAATTATAAATAAAATTTGTTATATCTTTTATGTTGATTCATTCTATTTGTTAAAAAGAATATATTTTTTATAATTAATATATTAATTATAATAATAATTACCATAATTATTATTATGGTAGAAGCGAAAGAACTAAGAAATTGCACTACAACATATTAAATCCAGAAAAAGGTTTAATTTTTAAAAAAAATTGCTTATTATTTTTTTATTTAATTATTTTTTTTTTTATTTGATTGTTATTACTTTATAAAACAATATACAAAACCAATAATTATCTTTTATGTACTAATTATTTATTATTTTACGATATTTCGGGATTCAGGATTACTAAAACTTTAAATTAATATTAAAAAAAACAGAATCAATATAAACATTCTGTAAACGCTATAATTCATGATTTTGATTGTAGAAACCGAAAATACTTTTAGAACTCCATCATCTTAATTTTTTCCGAAACAGTGTTATTTTTTAAAAAAATATACTATAAAGTTATTGACATCGTTAAAATGTTTTTTTTTTAATATTATAATGGGTAAGGTAAAAAATTATAGGTACCTATTTATTTTCTAAAAAAAATGATAATATATTTTTTTGCATAAAGAAAAAATGTAATATACAAAAATGTTGTAAATTGACTAAGGAATACAATTTTATAACTTATTTTGTAATTTCGTATTAACTTCTTTATACAGTTATCGTTCTAATAGAATAGTATAGTATAGTATAGTATTACTATATACTATATACTTTTTAAATTGAAGTTTGCGAAAAAAAGTTAGTTTTTAAATGTGCCCCTCCAGCCTCCTGCCCCCCCTTAAAAAAATAATAAAAATTTAAAATGGTATAAAACCTGTAATTCTTGAATTTTTTTAATAAAATTTAAAAATTTTCGATAAACTTCGGTGAATTAAATATTGTAGCACTTTAATTTGAATTATCTTAATTTGGGAGGGCAGGAGGCTGGGGGGGCACACTTAAAAACTAACTTTTTTTCGCAAACTTCAATTTAAATTCTGCTTACGCAAAACTTGTCTATATAATGTCATTATAAACTCATATAAATTTGATGTGGGTCCCATGTCTAATTACTGAATTATTAGGTCAATATTTTTCTATTTTATTGGTATTTGTTCACCGTTGTGAATTACTTTCATAAGTTGTAAACCAATAAAATAGAAAAATATTAACCTAATAATTCTTTAGAAAGTTTACTAAAGTAACCGATAATGAAAATTAATACAATGGGAAGAGAAGCTCTATAACACAATAAAAACAAGCTTATTGAACGTATTTGGCGTTACTTAAGAAATGTTGTAGATGCTTTAGATAATCCTGATAGCTACAATTTTACAAGTTCTTCGTTTAATTATGTAAATTTAGATATTTAATACAAAATTATTAGGAAATTTTGGAATACTCATAAAAAAAATTTAAAAATGGCTTAAGAATATACCTACAGTTTTAATTAAAACAAAATGAACAAATCCCAGAATTATTAAAATTCTACTCTGCAATCCCATATGAAAAAGACTTATCTCACTTCACCCAATCCGCACTAAAATAACTCCGGCGTTGTCGTAATCAACTCTTATCTTCTTTCTATGAATTTTAAATATCAACATTTTCCTCTTTCCGGTAAAACAGTCAACAAGACTGCGCCTATCTCTGTCCAACGCGTGGAACACCCTCCTTTACATTAATAAAAAGTTTGGCCACAGTTTATCTCTGGCCGCAGTTAAGTCGCATCTCTTGGACTATCAGTGTGTATGTTTTAAGGTTGGAGTTTTGTGGCGGTTAGAGTGAGAAAAGTATGTTTTTACCGAAAAACTACCAGGCCAGCATGACGGATATTATGTTCACGACCATGCAAGAATACCTACATAAATACCCCTGGGAGTTGGTGCAAACGGAGTCACCCTCAGTTTTGTGCACTGTCTTACCGAATCGATGGAGGTTGAACAAATCGCTACCCTTCGATTTCAGAGTCGTGTCTTTGGATGATATCCCCGATGGAACAATGGTGACTCTGAAGGCCGGAAACGATAAAAATCACTGCGCCAAGTTAAGAAATTGCACGTCCATGATGAAGAACCAAGTCGCGAAATTCTCCGACTTAGCATTTCTCGAACGTAGCGGAAGAGGAAAATCGTTCAGTTTAACCATCACGATATTGTGTGCACCGCACTACCAAATCGCAACATACAACAATGCCATCCAGGTTAAATTAGATTAAAAGTCTAAATACAAAATAAATGTTTTAATTTTAACAATTAATTTTATTTATCCTACAGGCACAGAAAAAAAGAGTCGTCTGCGTCAGTTTAGTCCCTACACGTTTGGATTTTTTTGTAAACCTCAGGTTACTTCTTTTATGTTTCCTTCTTTTATAAGTACACTGTACACTGTATATTCAATTTAATTTTTTTATAGAAACCTCATTTTCAACACAAAGCTTTTTATGAGGAATATTTTTTTTCGTAAAGCGCAAAATAAAAATGTTTTTCTATTGGCAATATGATCTGGGCACCCACTGTAGATTTTAGATTTAGTTTCAGCGAGTGAAAATACATAGGAATATCATGGTATTATTCATGACGCAGACCACTCTTCTTTAATTTCTCATAAAATAATAAATAAAGGTAGGTACCTACTTCCCTCTTAAAGAATTTTCATGTTTTTTTTTTAATTTCAGAGCACCTTTTACATTTAATTAAAAAAAAATTATGGGAATCTTCATTTTTTAACAAGCAGAAATTTTTATGAAACATGTTTTTTCGTAAAACGCATAATAAAAAAGTTCCTTTTATTGGACACAGTGTAGAAAAAAAATCCAAACTGTACAAATTATTTAGGGATAGTTCGCTTCCAAGGATAACTTTTTAGGCAAATTTAAAAAATGTAATCTGAATTTGTGTATTTTTTTCGATATGTTTAATCAGAGGCTTTCTTGGCTTTTCGCTTTTTGAACTTTCATGTGACTGGTCGTTTTTCAGGTGACATATGTAAAAAATTACAGGTAAAAAGTGATGAAAATAGGTTATACACTGTTCAAAATTTCATGACCATTTTAACACCAAATTAACACCATACATGGTTTATATCGATACAAACCAAAATGGTGTTAAATATGGTTCGTTGGTCCGGTGTAAATTCAAATACTAAAATAGTGTTAATTTAACTTTCACACAGTATTAAAATAAATTTTACCTGGTGTAAATTGAACTCCTTTTCAGTGTTAAATATTATGTGTTTTTGGTCAAATTAAATCATACTACAGAAAAAAAAGGAAAAAAAGAAAACAGGAAGTTCCTTGACGAATTACCAGTGGTATTATTCCAGAAAATTGAACCTTTAACTCGCTAGAGATAATGTTTTTAGTTCGATCCACCAACTTAAAATACTTCAAGTATTGACAGCTGTTTCCACCTATTTAAGGTCTTTAGTATCGAACAACTTGTAGTGTCACACCAAAGCAAAGGACTACCTGAGTTTATATATTCTTCATGTAAGTCAACAAAGGCGAGATTTAAGAACATCACGTGATCCACACCGCCTTTGCCGCGATCGATACTCATTTTCAACCATAATTCATGGTGTTATATTAACACCACTTGGTGTTGGATTTTGACACAATTTTAAGATTACTTTTTACACCACAGATATTTTAAACAGTGTACCACTACGTAAATGTCATCTTGGCTTTTCGCTTTTTGAACTTTCATGTGACTGGTCGTTTTTCAGGTAAAATATATCAAAAATTACAGGTAAAAAGTGATAAAAATAGGCTATAACAGCTGATGAGCAATATGAAACGAAAATACGAAACAAATTAAGCTCAGATCTGTTCGTAGAAAATAGTTATTTTTTGATGTAAGTATTAGGGGTTTCAGTTTATTTGTAAGAAATAAAACCACTTTTATTACTTACTTATAAATAACTACAACCTATGAATGCTACGTAAATTGTCAATAATGACAGGTAACATATGTCAGCTTATTTTGTTTCGTATTTTCGTTTCATATGGCTTATTTTTAAGATTATTTTTTATGCCAGTCACCTGCCATTTTTGACATCTGTCACGCAAAAACAATAGAAGACACTTAATTCTTATAAGCTTTTTGAAATCAGCCTAATAAGTTACCCCTAGAAATAAGCTTTTTCTCTAATAACCTTTACAGGTAAAGAGTGATTAAGTAATTCAGAAAAAAATGGAATTCATTTTTTTTTCTCGATAACTCGTCGTATTTCACCTGTAACCACGCTCTGCTACCTTTTTGATGGTAATAATTGAGACTAAACAGCGAGTTTTAGAACATAAACAGACAGAAACAAGAGTTCCAATGAATATTAACGCTTTTCGTAATCTCTAACCAAGACAAATTTATATGCGTCTCCAAAATTTGGTCTGTCGCTGTATAAAAAACTCTTCTTGCGTTGATTACAAAATCTCAAGCACAGTAAAATCATATTTTTTTAAGAATTTAATAAATGACAGTTTACATTTTTTTACTTTGGATAAAAACTTTTAAAAGCAACCTTGAATACCTGTAAATATTTGAGGGGGTAACTCCCTGGGTTCCGACTTGTACTCTCTATTAAAGGTAGGTAAAAATTTAGGTTGCAATGATAAAACATCGGTAGTTGCTGCTCTGGGTTGTAAGGGTGATATCGTTGATGTAGCGGGAATAGAATTATCTAAAAAATATATTTAAGTTATAATTGAATGCTACGTGGTGTGCCAAAAGACAAATTCGTGACTTTTGGCCCACAAGGTACAGAAAATGGTATACCGGTTGGTTCGGCTAAATTATAAGGACCATTATGGTGTAGTACGGCTATACTTGGAACGGAGGGACCCTGTAACGCTAATCCTATAACATTAACTCCATTTACGTTGCCTGCAAACAAAACATATTATTAATAAACTTAACACATACTTCCAGACATATACAAATCATTTATAACTGAGAATGTTTCCTTTTCGTGCACGGAGAGAAAAGTATTATGCTGATTACAATAATTATAATACCCTTTACTATAATTTATATTACTATTTTGGACAACTATCTTGTATATTGCCAGATACCATTGAGTAAGATTCTTTACATGTATGTTAAACCTTAAGGTAAAATATTATTATTCTCAACCAATTTTGCTTTTAATTCTTCTAGTAAATTTTAAAATATTTTAAATATAAAATATTTTAAAATCGAATATTTAACAATTAAAATTTTTAACATATTTATTGTACTTTTTAATATACAAAAATCTTAGGAGAAAGAATTGAACCTACCCCTTTCCAAAGTTTTTTGTTTTGAGTGCGTTCCATCAATTTCAAATACCGACAGAGGTGTTTAGAACCATATTGGGTATCATCAGTGTCGACACGACACTGTCGAGCAACTTGTAGTAGTGGAACACACCCAAAACAAAAAAATACCTGAGCTTATATAACATGGTGGGTAATCCAACAAAGGCGAGATGTAAAAACATCACGTGATCCACACCGTCAAACAACGCGTCGCGACGTGGCCTTTACCGCAATCGGTACATACTATGCAACCAAGTAGGTTCAATTCTTTCTTATAAGTATTACCAGTAATGGGTCAAGAAAGTTTATTAAAGAAACTAAGAAAATTAAATGTTTAAAATGTCGTGAGTTACTGTATTGTATATTATATTTAAATATATTGTTTATTTACCTTAAACATAAAAGTATTTATTTTTACTAAATTTTTTATTAATGTGGAATATATTATAATATTAGATGTACACCTTACATTTAATTAAATTATATAGTTAATATTACTATTTGTAGATAGTAAAATCAATTTACTATACGAACATATTAAAAATTACATTTATGATTTAGTAATATTGGTAATCTTTACTAAAATTGTATAATAAAAAATAGTATTTTGTATTACAATCTTAATATTGTATTGACGAATATATAATATTGTTACCCTAAAAATTTGTTAAAGTAAATTTTACTATATATTTTTTTACTATCTAAAATTTACTATACATTTCTCTCCGTGTGGGGTTAAAGTAGGAGAAGTGCAAATTACACAGGTGATTGCATTGAGGCATTGTATCTATTTGGGAAGTATGTAACGAAGTTACTTTTTCCCTACCCCTACCCTGTGTTACAGAATCCCGATTTAAATGATTTATTTCACATAAGTCATAAACGACCCCGGAATAGCCCATATGTAGCGCCCCACCGGAATGACCCGTAGGACAGTCAAAGCGCACAGCAAAAAATAGCCAGTTTGTTTACTTCTGCCTTTCGACGAAGCGTTTTTATGCCAAGCAGCAACCGAGAGCACCGTCATGTCAAAAGATTTGCCACAACGCCGGGATTGGTCAATCTTGACATCATGCTGGAGGCTCGCGCAGCCGGCCCTAGGAGGGAGACCAGAGGGCATATAAGCGGGCGCAGCGCCTTCGAAGGGATCACTTATCACTTCTCATCAGTGCGACGAGTATTTCAGCAGCAACCGGAACACCGACCGACCGCCGTCCCGACCGTCCGACCGCTAAAGTAAGTTGTAGTAACTAATTTTCTGTTTGTTTGTTTGTTTCAGAGACTTCCCTTATATTTTCAAATTATTCTGTGTAAATTCATTTTCCATTTATTTATTGTTTTGTACATACGAGGATTTATTTTTAATATATGTATTAACCGAAACACATCATTTATTCTTAAATTCCCCGGAACCCTGGAATTTTATCTCCACTGTTGACCTTAAAAGCTACCCTCGCACATAGTGGAACTTCAACCACTTTAAACCCGTTGAAGTTGGCGCCCGAGATTTTATTAGAAAGTCTGCACGGTAAGTGACGCCAAGCTTAAAAAGGAAAGTTTCCCCCCGGGAAATAAAACCCCTTTTACAAGTATAATAAATACTTTTTAATAAATTGTATATAAAAACATTTAACAATAATAAACACACAAATTAATGATATTTTAGATTTTATAATGGCATGTTTATAACAGCACACAGGGTGTTTCTTTTAACTTGATACAGCTCAATATCTCGAGAAATACGCATTTCACGGAAAAATGTCTTAAAATTGAAAAAAGTTTTAAATAAAAGTTATTCATTTTTTTATGTACTACCAAACTCTGTGAAAAAAATCGGGTCATTTCATTTGACTTTCCAAAGTTACCCCCCGTTTCACCCTTAAGAATGGGTAGGGGGTTGCTAGCGGTAGCACCAAATAATGTCCCCTTTGGTCACATTAACCTTTTATTTAAGACATTTTTCCGTGAAATGCGTATTTCTCGAGATATTGAGCTGTCTCAAGTTAAAAGAAACACCCTGTATAACAGAAAGAATTTGGCAACGTCGTATTTCTACCACAATAGTCAAAAGGTTTTTTTGATAGACATACTAATATTTACATTATTTTTATAATTAATCATTTTGTTTGTTTTCTGTTGTATTTCAATTGTTTTGGCATTGTTTTTTTCATTGTGTTTGCTAGATTTTGCTTTATATAAGAAATGTTTGTAACCTAATAATTTGATATAACCTAAATTCTATTTAGTTTTGTGTGTGGAACTTAAGCCAACCAACAACGCCTATATGATTCTACATGAACTAAACCTATAGTAAATGGTGGGAGTTGTTTCATCCCCTAAACACATTTCAGCTTCTTCACCTAGATGGCGTTAACGTGGCGGAAATTTTATTTTCAAATTAAAATTCGATTCGCAAATCAAATTGTGCGGTAAAGGGCCATCGGCGTTGAGATTTAAATTTAATAAACGCTCTTCGCAGTAAAAGGAAAAATTGATGCCGAAATTAGATTACGTTTGAATTTTAATTCGATAGAGAACGAAATCGATTTATTAATATATCCTTTTGTAGAGTAAAATTTTACGATTTTAATGCCATTTTAAGGTACAACATTTGAATTAAATTACAGTAAAACTAATAGGCTGTACGCTTTATTCATATTCATGACTTTATATTCTAGTTTAATGGAATCAAAAGTTTGTTAATTAAGTTTAGCTGCAATCGTGACCAATTATTTAAAATTTAAAATGTTTTGATACAAATTAGGTCATTAAAAATAAGTTTTTGCCATATGGATATGGATCAGTAACCTCAAAAACCCATCGATTTTGTTAAACATTTTGGCCAGGTTTTTTTTATTAGGCCCCACTGTGCAAGGCTCCGTTTGTTTTGATTCGACAGGATATCGCTTACGTTTTTAGATTGTGTTTTTGTACCTATTTTTAATATTTTATAATTATTTATAAATAATTTCTCGAAGAGAAGGCCAAGGGGCTGATTGGTAAACATAAACACTGTTTTGTTCAGTGCTAAAAATATATAATTTTTTTTATTTATTAAATATACACTCACTGGCAAAATAATCGTTCCACTCAAATTTTCGATGAATTTCAATCGCAAATAACTTTTTTATTTGATTTCGGATTTAAACAAATATTAAAGAATATTGTAGATACATTAATGGAAAATTGCTCACATTTTAAAAATTACCAAAAAATACACGTACGTTTATAATATACAGGTTTAAACAAAAATATGTTTTTTTACCATAAGTTTAAGACACTCTGTAGAGTGGCTAAACCGTATATTGTTCTAAATTAAGTTTTAATCACATCTATTTTTAACAGTTTTGTTTTTGGTTCACCTTGATATATTTATTTTTGTGGAAAATATGGATTTTTTTTAAAAACATTGCAATTTCCAATATTTTCCTGTATGAAGAACTAAGGTTGCTATGGTCCATCCATGGCCTATGGAGGATGACAATGACAGTTTTGTTGAATCATCGCATACTTGGACATGTCATATACAGCTTTCAAAAGCTATCCAATTGTTTTTTGTAAATTAATGTGTTAATTTTGAGGTGTCTTCTTACTTTTAAAAATGTCTCCGACTGATGTGGCCCTTTGTACTTTACTTCTTGTGACGTTTAAAACACTTGCCACGTAATACTGTGACCGTCCATCCTGGATTAAATTAATGGCTCTGGCAACATCAGTCGGAGACATATCCATTTTTTAAAGTAAGAAGACACCTCAAAATTTAAACATTAATTTGCAAAAAACAATTGGATAGGATAGATGTCCAAGTATGGGATGATTCAACAAAACTGTCACTGTCATTCTTCATAGCCTATGGATGGACCATAGCAACCTTAGTTCTTCATACAGAAAAATATTGGAAATTGCAATGTTTTTTTAAAAAATCCATATTTTCCACAAAAATAAATATATCTAGGTGAACCCAAAACAAAACTGTTAAGAATAGATATGACATGATAAATTAAACTTAATTTAGAACAATATACGGTTTTGCCACTCTACAGAGTGTCTTAAACTTATGGTAAAAAACATCTTTTTGTTTAAACCTGTATATTATAAACGTACGTCTATTTTTTACTAATTTTATAAAATGTGAGCGATTGTCCATTAATTTATCTACAATATTCTTTAATATTCGTTTAAATCCGACATCAAATAAAAAAGTTATTTGCGATTGAAATTCATGGAAAATTTGTGTGGATCGATTATTTTGCCTGTGAGTGTATGTATATATATATATGTATATATATATATATATATATATATATATATATATATATATATTAAAAATAAACATTTTCCTTACAATTGTAGATCGATTAATCTCATAATTAAACCGTCAAATACCCTAAAACTCTTGAATTGTAGAATTCACCAAAATGTCATAAAACGGTCCTAAATGTTTTAAAATTTTATAAAATGTCCCAAAACTATCAAAAATTAAATAAATTAAATGTCCCAAAACAGGTTTTGTAACTATACTTTACTTTTGAGGGACCTGAGACGATATTTAATAAAACATTTGAATTCGGTAGTGTCTTTTTTGTTTCACACTACCCAAAATAATATTTCATTCAGCTTTATTTTTTGGTCCAGCTTTTTGTCTACCTTAACTTGGTTAGTATTTTTAGTCGTACTTAAAAAAAAATCATTAACCTACATAAAATTAAAGGTGATATTGATATACCTAATTTCGCCGTACCAAATGCATCTTTGAAAACTGCAGGGTGATGGTGTTTTATAGCATTCATCCTTCTATTCTGCGTATTTTCTATCTTTTTTCTTCGAGGCTGCTCCACGGGAAGAACTCTTCTTCTTCGCTTTGGTAACTTCGCCCTTGCCTGAAAAAATAATAAAATGTGTTGAAGCACCCTGTATAACACGAAAATCTATGACAAAAATGTCACTTTTTAAGCATTTTAAACCTTTTAAACATGCACGATTTCCCAAATTATTTAAACGAAATGAAACAACGTCAGAGTGCAAAAACCCTGAACTTCCTCCTGAATGCGAACCTGACCCAGAATGTACTACAGAACTCGATCCTAAGGAGCAAATGAGCGAGTTTTGTCAATACCTAGCGCAATGTCTTCCGAAATTTGTTCAAAAAATTCACAGAAATCATTGCAACGAAATCGAAGTTATGGTGCATACCACCGGGATTTTACCTATACTGCAATTTCTTAAAGATCACCACAATTGTCAGTTTGCTTGCTGTACTGATATAACCGCTATAGATGTCCCTTCCAGAATTTACAGGTATTTTTTAGTTCATTTTAAAAAGGATTAATGAAAAATCAATAGGGCATTTTTACGCCAGTTAGGTTGATAAATCGGCGCAATACATCAGGCTTTGATGTATGCGATAGCTTTATCATAAAAATTTAACACCTGCTGTTCACATATTCTATGAATGCTTCTTTATTAGCTATTTATGAACCAAGGGTGTTATTATGATGATTACGCCCGGATGGGCCGATGGGTGTAATCATTTAGTAACGCCAGTGGTGCACATGTATACACAATTTTATTTTTTAATTTACATAAAACTGAAAAAAATCATATTATTTTCGGAGGGCGTCATGAGTCCTTTACGCCTCATAACTGTAAAAAAAATTGAGGGCGTAACGAATCCATTACGCATCGGAGACAAAACAACAGCTAAGTGAAAAATAAAACTACTTGAAGGCATTTTTTTAGGTCAGTTATATAGATTACTAGAAAACTAATGTTCCATGGGAAATATTCGAAAAACGATCAATATTTAGAAAGATTATTTTCTGTATTAATTAATTGTTCTCAAACTGGTTTTTGACATTTTACAATATACCTACTTTGCCGTCTTTAATTTAATAAAGGTTTTTAACATTTTTAATTATGTCAAACATGCTAATAAATATTTTTTCTTTTGAAAATAATTCGTAGAGGACCTGTCGCAAGGCCGCCAATATCGCTGGATCTAAATACTTTTGATTTCTTCTTGTTGGGGTGAATAAAAAGTTTAGTGTTCAAAAACCATTTTTGTTGTAATGATTATGTTTTTTGGCAACACTACTTGAAATATTTGTTTGTCTATATGATTTCTACACATTGTTAAAAAAGCTATATAAACTTTGGGTCCAAACCACTTCTGCTTAAAATATTGTTTTATATTAATTTGTGTCAAAAATTTTCAATAAAAAATTAAATTTTAAGGTGTGCTTTTGAGTACTGGAACCACAGACCACCAAAACAAATGGACGGCGCATTGCCATTCAATAACAATGATTTGTTTGCCGTCAACAAACGGTCACAGTCTAAGCGTCAAATTGGAGATAGAATTTTATGTTTTCTTCCAGTGACGTCATCAAACGGTCACAGTCTAAGCGATAGAATTTTATGTTTTTCTTCCAGTGACATATTGGGATTAAAAAAATAAGTAGGTAGGTACTTACAAACGATATTTCCATGTATTGTTATTTTTAGTAAAAAATAATGTATTTAAACTCCATAATTAACTTAAACACGATAGAAATACACAAACGAAAACACAAAACAACAAGCTGTCAACCCACAGAACATAACCTTTTTCTATGCTGTTAAATATGACGAATTTACCAACGTTGTTAATATTTAATTTTAATAATTATTAAATGATTTACTTTCTTTAAATAGAGAAAAATATCTAAAGAAAATGATGAACAAATCCTTTTTACAATTTTTTTATTATTCAAACGAATTACTGGTAATTATTAATGTTCATTATGTTTGATGAACGTCCAAAAAGGCGTGTAATCTATACTTCTGACAACGTTGGAAGCCGTGTTTCTTTCGACGGTGTTTAGAATGTGAAACTATGCTTTACTCGCTTTTTAAACGTAAACAAATCCGTCCATTTGTTTTGGTGGTCTGTGACTGGAACCTATACTTGTTTTAAAAAAGTGTAACTTCGAGCCTTCCATCCCAGTCTGTAAAAAACCCTTTAGGACCAAATACATACATTCGATATCTGCTGACATTTCTGAAGCTATCTAACCTCACTTTATACTTTTAATAATCGTTATTGTAATTGTAATTCGGCTGCAGGAGTTCAAACTTTAATCTCAGCCCAAAAAGACTCATTTCTCAGCCTTGTAACATAAATAACTATTAATTATAACTTAAATGTCGTGTAGCCAGTTCTAATTTGGACCAATCAATATTATTATGTCATCATATATTATTGAATGTTTTTTGGCAGATTTTATAATTTATCTGATACGTTGTTCATTGTTTATTTTTGTACTGTTAATAACATTTCCAGTAATTGGGTGTATTCCTGTTGGAAATAAATTATTATTATTAATATTATTATAACTGCTAAAGTGATGTATTTACTTAAGTTGTAGTTCTCTAGCTTACCATCAACATTTTTTAACATGTAATTATTTTAGCTTTGTTATTTAGTTCTTTCATTTTAACTTGTCATATTTTTACTTTTGCAAGGTTGCCTCTATTAGGTCTTGTATATTCAATCTGTTATATCCACATAAAAAATGTGATAAGCTAAAACATTGTTTTGGCTTATCTCATTTTCTTGGTCATTTAAATATTTCATTATTTTACCTTATCCCGAGTCTCTAAAATTAAAGACTTATTTGTTCCCAGATTTGAAGTAATCTACAACCTATTATCAATCCGCTACAATACACGAATACGAGTCAAAACTTACACAGACGAACTGACTCCACTGGAATCAGCAATTTCAGTCTACAAAAATGCCAATTGGCTCGAGCGAGAGGTATGGGACATGTACGGGATATTTTTTCAGAATCATCCGGATTTGAGAAGAATTTTAACAGATTATGGCTTTAAAGGCCATCCGCAAAGAAAAGATTTTCCAATTTCCGGGTATATTGAGTTGAGATACGATGATGAGAAGAAAAGAATTGTGAGGGAGCCCATAGAACATCCACAAGAGTTTAGGAGGTTTGACTTGAGTGGCCCATGGGAGAATTTTCCCAATTTTAGACAATCGCGGTTGAACCCTGTTAAAAAAGAAGTAAAGAAGGAAAAGGTAAAAGTAAAATCTAAAGACAGTTGTGTTAAAATGGTTGCTGTAGATAACCAACAAGAAAAAGTGAGGTTAGTTCAACAAGATAATGCTTATCCGGCTATGCTAGTATTGTCACCATTTAACATTCTGGAATTTTTAATAGAAGATTTGTTTAATCAAATAAAAAGTTTATTTGGATTTATTGGACATATTCAAGAGGAAGATTTTTTGGAGCCAGACGATGATAAAAAAATCAGAGAAAATTCGGGTAATGAACAAAAGTGCGTGAATCAGTATACTCAAAAGATAAATTAGATTTTTGTACTGTATATTTTTTAAATATATTTTTTTACAAAAATTAACCATATATACGTTTCTGTGTTAATTGAGGGGCTTGGAAGTAAAACGGTTCAAGTGCACTTTTTTAAATAAATGGTCTAAGTGCGGAATATCACACCTAAAGAATATTCTAACTTAGTGGTAAAATTATATAAGTACATTTTACATTCTCTGGCGCCATTTGCAATATAATTATTCAATAGGTGCTTTTCCAAATATCAGTTCACTTAAAAGTTAAATTTAAATACACGTTCTTTCCTTTAATCATTTAAGCATATATGCTATATTATATATAAGCGTTGATTTTCTTACCCGATGCTTCTTTAGCGTATAGGTACCAATAATTATTATATCGACGCCACACAAAATAAATAGGATTATAGAAGTAAAGAGAAATGCAAACATTTTAATTAAAATAGAATACAAATATAAATTGGTGGGGTGAATGTAATGTAATATTTAGATTTGTTTGTTTTGCGAGCCAGGGTATTATTGACGTTTCATTATTATTTAAATGGTATTTTTCATTTTCGCCGACGTTTCTAAAATCAATAGCAGATGCATAATGAAAACGAAATAAACTACACATTTCACATCAGTCAATTTAATATTTAATAGGGTTGCAATTTTTAATTTCAATTTCAAGCTTCATAAAATTCTTAAACTTATTTATTTAATAACTTACGGAGTTTTTCTTGAGAGAGGATAGTCAAATCCGTTGAAAAAAGCGTGCTTTCTCGTGAAGTTTTTTTTCTTTCCAATTATTGGTATTATAGCTGTGTTCCTTTGACCACAAAGATCATATTAAACGATTTGTGATCGGTCAGTCAAAGATGTGGTTAAACCAAGCCCACGTTTTTATACATGACCGTCGGTCATTGACCGAATAATATTATATTTTATTATAGTCGACTATCCTGTCCCTAAATGTATGTCCTTGATTTGAATAACTTATTTCTCTTTAGTTAGGTTTGAAGTTTCACCATGTATTATTTTATTTTACCTCAATTTATAGAAACTATTCTAAATTATTATTTAAATTCAAGTTCTGTTTAATCTTCTCGAAGAGCACTTCGTACTGAAAATCTTATTTTTGGTGAAGCGTATTTTGGTTAAATGGCTTCATTGATAGGCAAAAATGCCAATATTAGCTTCTCCGCAAAGAATTTGGCAAATTGTGTTTGGTGTGGATTGGCATCTAACTTACTGTGGTAAAATATATGTCCACAAATCTAGGAAGACGATTTTAACTTACCCAATTGAGCTAATATTTTAGTGCTGGTTACAATACAATCTAGTATACTTAATATTGTAAGTTATTCAAAATGGCCGCTCTTTTCTTTACCATCCTCATGACATGGATATCAAATGAGGTTATTTTAATTTTAAATAAAGGTTTCATTAAAAAAACACAACACAAGAGTTATTTTAATGATTTCAAAAATTACCAAAGTTAACAAAATTTTCAAAATATCAATATTCCTTGACATGGGTATAAAATGAAGATGTCATTATAATTTTAATATGGCGGATGCAACTAACAAACGAACTATCTAAATTTTAATAATAAAAAGTAAAAAATAAATAATGGTTAAAAAACTCAAAACACGGATTATAAAGTATAAAATGTAATTTAATTAAAATATTTTGTGATATTCATAAACTTGTTACTTCCAAATGGACGGCTTTCTGCAGAATGGGACCAACCCACACCATGATGAAACTGAGAAAAAAGCTATCAAAGATTTTAATAATTTTAAAATTACCTGTTAATTTTATGCCGATTTTGGACTTAGGGAGGTTTAAGGGATATAATTTAATAATTTCATCAGGTGGATTTTGTGATGTTATGTGTAAGGGTGACGAAAAAAATGGGCTTTTGTTGGTTGGTTCCTTTCTGCAATTTATGAAAACTACTATCTGATGTATGTATGTATTTAAAGAAAAGCGACAATTATTTATTTCCAAACAAAATACAACTGATATTACTATTATAATGGTAATATGAATTAATTTTGATTCTATTTGAAATTCGTCCACATCATCTTCCAACCCCACCTCATCTTGTAAGCTACCAAAAAAATGCATCAAGACTTTATATTTTGCAGAAGCAGGAAATCTTTAAAGACTTTGGTAGTGGGTCTACCAGCCTGCTTTTTTACAAAAAAGATCCAACCCACTTGCAGATATTCTACAGATTCTAATTCTGGATTAGTAATTCACACTATTATTGAATGTTGGTTGGTTCAATGATTAATAGATTTCACTACACTTGCATTTTGGCTATGACCTATTTTGCAGATAAATTATACATACTTAATTAGTTCATAGGCTAAATATCTCGATTTTTTTGGTTTTGTGGGTTGGTTCCTTTCTGCAGAAAGGCGTCCAAATGTTCAATGACTATGCCAAAAGGCGTATGTTTTTTCTTAAAGTTTCTTTTAAAAACTGCTAGTGCTGCTCTAGTAATATTTATGCTTATTATTGGTGACTTTCTTACCTGCGTGTGAGAGTAGAACATTGAAAAATTGGAAACAATAACAGGCACGGGAAGGGCGATCGTTAGCACTCCTGCCAACGCACATAAAGCACCAACGAACATCCCTGCGTATGTTTTTGGTGCCATGTCGCCATAACCTACTGTCGTCATGGTTACTATTGCCCACCAAAGTCCTTCAGGGATGCTCTTAAAGTGATTATCCTTGTTGTCCTGCAAAATAAAAGAAATTACATTTTTAAGGGATTTTATTACATTAGGTGTAATTGTATAATCTTAAATCATTGCACTAATGGTCTTGATTGATTATGTACTCTTGAAAATTTAAGTTATTTAAACTTATTATTATTTTAGCTTTAGCCTTCCAGTTTGTAGTTTTGTATAGTCTTTTATATTTTGTTGTTAAAATGATAAAAAATATCTGTCATATTAGCTTGTTATTATTTTTGAAAATATTTAAAACTTTTTCATTCCATCTTAGATTTTTGTCATATTGGCTGTTCTGAGAATTGATTTTCAGACTTTGTGTGAAACTTGTTTTTCTTATTCTTTTTACTTATGATGTAACTAAGTATTTAAGGGCAACATATAACAAATCCCACGTTTTATTTTTTTTAATTGGATTTCGTAAAAAATATTATGCACTCTTTTAACTATGCATTCATTTATATATGGGCAAAACGTTTTAATCAGCTCAAAGATTATTTAATTATAAAAAAATTTTTTGGTACTTTTTTAAATTAATGACGAACTTTTTGCAATATGGGATTAAAGTTTTAATTTAATTTTAGTATTTAAAATCGTTATATTGAAGCTACGCTATTAGCTTCTTTCTGGCACATTCCACCAAATTAATAAAATCAGTATAGTATAGCTTATCCTTATGTTATCTTCTTCTCATTTATTACTTGCCTACTTTATTATTCCCGTTTTAGCTAGTTTAGTTTATATTACCTTCTTGTCATTTAATATTTGCCTACATTATTTCTGAAATTCCTGTCATCTTTTAGCATTTCGTTTTTTGCTTGTTTGTCATTTTAGCTTGTTCCCGTTTTAGTTAGTTTAGTTTAGTTTATTTTTAGTCTTTTTTGCCTTATTAAAAACAAACCTCTAAAAACTAGTGCATTTTAAACAAAGTTAAGTTAAAATATTTGGTCGTTTCACCTAAGTACGTCGGTGAGAGAGCGAGGTCGTAATTTCCTTCCAATAGTAAATCAAATTTTCAATACCTACGCCGCAATATCAATCCAGACAATTTAAGCATATTGAATATTCGATTCTTGTTAAATTCATGTCAATTACTAAAAATTGGCTTTATACATGGCTATAGCTATAGATAGGTAAAAGGAGCCGACATCAAACGGAAAAAACTTTTGTTTTTGACGTGAACCTAAAAAGTTGGTTATTTTGATTTCAAATTGAGTCCATTTTTAAACATCTTCATACATGGTAAGATCTTAACCCAAACCTTACAAAAAATGTTTATTATTGGATTACAAATTTCGCAAAAAACTGTGGAGGTAACTTTGAAGGTAATGGTTTTTCGGTTATTCATGATAAAAATTATGCTTGCGCCATGTTGCAATCGCCAACATTGGCGATAGCTCCCTGGTACGAACTATAAACATTTATTTATTTAATACTTAAATAAATTATTTAATAAAAAACATGAAAAAAAACAAAAAATACACAAATATTAAAAAAATTAATTTTATATCATTTGGCCACTCCTCAATACCAAATATTTTTTTAAAAAATCAGAAGTAAATTTAGCACCCTATAAAACATAAAAAACACACGTCTTGGGAAAAATATTTGAAGAATAATTTTTTATTTATTATTTTCCCTTTGACAAGTACCTTGCTTGTTGAGAGCTAAATATCGTTCACACAGTTTTGTGGACCACCGTACTGTATATCTAAATTCTACTGTACACAAATTTAATAGAGCCAAATTATGTTTTTGATGGGTTTATTTAAGCCAAATAGTTTTATTCATTATAATAAAATTATTGTTATTAAATGCAATTTTCCGGAATAAGGAAATGTGTTCAGGATTACCTAAACCGCATAAAGTGGGAGAATTGTAGACATGAATATCTCAATAATATATTCCAGTATGCATTGAATAATTATTGTTACCTACATAACAAAGGCATTCTTGGAAAATATCGATTCGGGTATAAAACTATGAGGAAAACAAAGAACTAATAACTAATTTAGGTATTTTTAGTTGGTAAAGATAAAGTCTAGTCGCCTATTTGTTTAACAAAATTTTAATAAAACTTAGGTTATAGACAAACACATAAAATTATGTTTCAAACTTTTTGACCATTACAGACCGTCGTTAATCTGACAATACCTGCTAACAATAATTGTAATGACTCTAAACAAAAACAACCTCCAGATAAAAAAAATGAACTGTATTTCTATTTATTTCAAGGGTTTTTAATGAAAGTCTTAGAATAAAATAAATTTAATTTTGTTAAATAAGATATACAGTCGATACTTTAAAGTAATGGTTGTGTTTTCTTGCCTCCCAAACAAATTACTGCCCTTGGGGAAAATAATACGTACATTAAGAAAAGGGGGAAATTTAACGTTAAGTATGTGTCATCTAAGATTATATTATATCAACACTGCGGTGGCAAATTTTCACATTTTCTCCGGGTTGTAAAATTAATTTAATTAGAAAATATCCTTATGCAGCACGTTTGTGTTTGCTCAGCATTTGCATAATAACATTACAGTCATTTTCAAAACAATTAAAATAAATGTAGCACCAGGATGTCGAATGTCATAAAATGGGACATCATGAAAAAAAGCCTAATAACATTCAAATGGACATCGATATGCTGCCTAATAAGGTGCAAATGTTGTACATTGTAATATAATGTATGCATATACGCTTAAGAAGTATCGGGTTTTCGCAACGCGCCATCTGGTGTTGTCAACAATAAATTTAAAGCACCGATTATACATCATTTTTAAATAAATAGGTAGTTTTTTTACAAAAGAGAGGAAGGCAGAAGTCTTACTCGACAAATTTTGTTCAATTGCACAGCTAAATCGCGCACGTTATTTGTGTTTTACGTAGCAAGGAAAAAATTAAAAAACTTTTTTAGTACTCGATTTCGATTGATTTTTCCTTATATCATTGATTAAGAAACTCAACGCTTAAATGCTTATATAGTTACGTTTGTGTGTGTATTTTATCAAAGGGATCATGGTGCATTATTGTGTTTTTAATTGTAAATAAAATTCAAGAACTAAATCGTTGCATTTTCATGTTTTGCCAAAGGATCCAATTCGGTAGTACATTTGTTGGTGCAGAAATAACTAATGATAACTTTACCTAATATATTTTATATTTAAGTTTGGACATTTTTAAGAAATTAGTAAAAAATAAATTTTTGCACAACATAACTTTAAAAATCAATTATTTTTATATTTGAGTTCTCTAAAAAACGCGTACAACTGCATTTTATACTTAATCAACGCTTTTAATAATGCTAAATGCTGTTTAAATTTAGACGACTTATTTGTTTGACGATTTTTACTGAATTGAAATGTTTACACTTTTCAAGTTAATCACTACTAAAAGTGTATTTATTGTATCTAATAGGTACAATTTATATTTACAGAGACTGTATGCAATTTATTTTTTCATTCAGATTAACACTGTTTATTGAAAAACCGGTAAAAACTCAACCCAGGATTTCCTCTCGAAATTCACCCAATAACACAACAAATCGATCCACGGTTTTTTTTTTATATCTTTTAACATTATCCGGCTTTATTCTCAAAAACACTCGTTTGTAACCTAAGCTTTTGACAGCTGATTATAAAAAGTTCTACTTTTGTTACGATGATAACAGCCGAGTGGTGGCGCTACTAGCGATACTTCTTTAGCGTATATACGAATTTGGGCCCTATTTGGCAGTATATCAATGTCTATTTGGATATATTTGGCGTTTTCTACCTTGTAACCCGTAAAATAACCACCTAACTAACATTTTGCTCTAGGCTTCTGATGCATGATCAAATAAATACAGATAACGCTTTTGTCATAGAAAACTGACTCAAGCGTCTTATTTTTACTGAAAAACGTTAACTGTATAAGGTTTTTTATTTTTTTTGTAAAGTGACTTATGTTTCAAAACATTTGCCAGGAACAAGACCCAAAGGGCCGTGAGCAGAAACTTTAATTTATTTATATCAACTGACTGTGACATATGACATAAGTAAAGTGACCAGATTCTGTCAAAAAAATAGGGGGACATTTTGTATGAATTTACCTTAATTACAAAATTGACACAATGATACAATGATACAATGATAAAATGTAAATTTGACGTTACTTAATTATTGTTGATTGTGACATTTTTGTAATTAAGGTTAATTTACACAAAATTTTCCCCTATTTTGTTGACAGAATCTGGTCACTTTAGACATAAGCGTCTCCAAAATTTGTATTAGTTAACGCTTTGTTCTCAAATATTATTTTAAATTTGCTGTATTTTAAACTGTGTTAAAATCAAAAGCACAGTAAAATTCAAAAATCCTTTTAATACTATCAAAAATCATTGTTGCTAGATACTTACCTGTGTTTTTTCTGCATAATAAACCAAACTGGCAAAAACCACAATACCCAAAACTAGGAAAAACACCAGCAAAGCCAATTCTTTGGCAGACGCCTTGAAGGTGTGTATCAAAATTTTCAGTCCAGGCGAATGCCGCGTTAGCTTGAATAACCTCAAAATCCTTATGATACTGATAAAATCCAAGAGTTGATTTTTTCTGTCGAAAATCAAAAACATGTCCAAGTAGAAGCTCAATGTTGCTGCAAAGTCTATAATGTTGACCGGAGATTTTATAAACTCGATAACGTTTGGAGAAACCTGTAACAATAGAAAAAAATATAATTACTACAGCATTTTCTGTTTATATAAGGAGTTTTTCTTATTGATAACGACTGCTAAGGAGAAAATCGGAACAAAAAGTCCACATAACGTTGAACGTTGGTCTCGCTGATTTTGAAGTGGTTTACCCCTCGAGAGTAAGCAATTAACTATAAACATTTTTAAAGAAGGTTACCTTTTATTTGAATAGACAGAAAAGTAATACTTTGCCAAGTTTAATTCGTACATTATTGCAAATTCTAAAATCATTTGAATTATAAAGAGTCAGATTACTTTGGATTAATGATTGCCAGTTTTATTTTTTTGTCATATTGGACTAATTGGCAACCCTAACCTTAACTATCCATATGGATACACTGTTTAAAATATCGGTGGTGTAAATTGTAATCTTAAAATGGTGTCTAAATCCAACACCAAGTGGTGTTAATATAAACACCATGAATAATGGTTTAAAATGTTATATACATCAAACATCAAAACGGTGTTAATCTAAATATATTTGAGAAGTGCACCTACACAGAAAAAAAGGAATAGTTAATTTAACTATATTAATTTAGTTGACCCAAAAGTATTTATTTAAATCAACTGTGGGAAAGTTAATATAAACAAAGATTAGTTTGACGGTACTAAATCAGATAGTTATTTTATTTTTTTTAATTGGTTAAATTATTTCAGAAAACTTTAGTGAAACCAACCCGCTGTATGGTTCAGTTTACCAAATATGTTGTTTGTAAAATAAGAGTTACTTCAACCTAAAGCACTCTGTTAAAACGATTAAAACAATTTGCCGTGCATTCCTGGTTGCATAGTATGTACCGATCGCGGCAAAGGCGGTGTGGATCACGTAATGTTCTTAAATCTCGCCTATGTTGACCCACATGAAGAGTATATAAGCTCAGGTAGTTAAGTTATTCGATACTAAAGAGACCTTAAATAGGTGGGAACAGCTGTCTACTTGAAGTATTTTAAGTTGGTGGAACGCACTAAAAACATTATCTCTAGCGAGTTGAAGGTTCAATTTTCTGGAATAATACCACTGGTAATATACTTGTAATGCGTCAAGGAACATCCCGTTTCCTTTTTTTTCCTTTTTTTCTACGTAGTATGATTTAATTTGACCAAAAACACATACTAGTTAATTTACACCAGGTAAAATTTATTTTAACACTGTGTGAAAGTTAAATTTACACTATTTTAGTATTTCTATTTACACTGGACCAACAAACCATATTAAACACCATTTTAGTTTGTATTGATATAGACCATTTATGGTGTTAATTTGGTGTAAAAATGGTCATTAAATTTTGAACAGTGTATGTACCAGTGATGAGAACTATCGATAGTTAAAATTTTACAATAGTGCTCACCACTGGTACATAATACATAGTACACAGGTACACTGGGAATTTATCCAAATTTTAACAAATCGGGTATATACCGGGTACGTGCCCATCACTGTTCTTAACTATCTTCAGAATAGTATCCTGTACATTTTAATACGGTTAATTTAGTGTCTAATTTAGATATTAATAGGAATATAAGTTATAAATACAATTTTTAATGATAAACAAAACTTTGGACATTACATTTAAATTACTTGTGTATACAAAATATATTTGTATTACCCATGAGTTTTATTAAAAATCAATTATGAATTACTTTTTAATTTAAAATTTTACATTTTTGTTACCAAATATTCGAATGTGGGTAAATTTTTATGAAAATTATTTTGGTATGCGGTTGTTGAAAGATGTGATCGTGGATTATTTGCTAAATAAACTAGCTAGTTTATTTTTAGAACCGACAAACAGTTTTGCCGAAAGCATGCCGAGAAACACTTTAGTCAGTAATTTGGATACCCTTCATACCCCCAACGGTAGTTTTCCATTAAATATACTAATTGTATTAAAATGCTTTGTTGTTCGATTCTATTTCAGCGTAAAATTTTCGCGCCGCACAAAATTAATAATTTATTAGCCACGAATGCGGATTATGCGAAAAGTTTTGTTTTGTTTTAGGTATAAAAGTTTCATTGTTTGTTGTTGTTAAAGTGTATTTGTTTATTTTTGGTCAAAGGTTTCAATTAATTTATGTAATTTTGACATAAATGTATACACAATTTAATTATTTTAATATGATTTAGTATGCAACACTATAGTTTTACATTTATTAACAATTTTTAAAATAAAAGGTTACAGTTAAATATTTAAAAAGTACTCTCTAAAAATAAATTAGTAAAAAATTACTAATTGTCATAGCGAAACAGCAGCCACTAATAATACCAGTCAACATCAATTTATTGACGGTATTTTTGGATTCAGGGGATAATTTTAGAATTGGCTGATACAAATTGCTGTTGACTACAGTTATTAGTGGCATGCTTTTTCACTTCAAAAACTAATCATTTTTTAATAATTAATTTTTAAAGAGTGTAATAATATTATATAATATATTATATGAATATAATTTTTCAAAAATATTTAAAACAAGTTTTATAAAGTATCTAGGTACCTACTCGTATATAGTGATTGAATTTAAGTTTGATTATAAGTTTATAGTTTTTTTTTTATTTTTCAACATAACTCTTGAAGGAAAATATACTGTTTTATTTTACAAATGCAATGCCAACTGTATCTGGCTTTCTATTTTGCTAAATACAATATATTCTATATATATTTATGACAATAGATATAATCTTGTATTAATAAAGACTTGATTAATTTGGATCAGTGAGGCAGAAATCGTCGTAATTGTGATTTGCAAAAACACACTGTCTTTTAACAAACGGGAAGCAATCTTAATTTTCTTTCTCTTGCTTACCACCAATAAAATGAGAAGATGTCTCCGCTCAACTAAGAACGCAATCAAAGGAAAATTACGACAAATATTTGAACAACTTAATTATTTATTGTTACCATAATCTATACATAATATATTTTTTCTACTTCCACCTGATCTTTTAAATAAACATTGAAAAGTTGTGGCTTTAAGGCGCTTTAGTCACGGGCTGAAGTTAGCAACAGGTTTTTAGTCACAGATTGAAGTTAGTTTTAATTTAATTGACAGTTGTCAAATGTCATATGCATTTATACCCTTTTTCCCGTAATGTACTCCCTATATATCCTTAATTAAATTGTCCAACAGAATCAAATATTTTAAAAACTGTCAGAACCTTAATTTAGAATTTCTTTAAAAATTTTATTCATTTTTGATATTATTAAATTAGGTTGTTTAAAATTTTTGCCATATTTACCAATATTTTTAAGCTTAATATTTCATGTACAGGGTGATCCCCTATAATGTCGCCCTCCTTTAACTTTTTTATTTTAAGTGTCCCAAAAAATTTAAAAGTGTGGTTATGTAGGTAATAAAAAAATTTTTTTCTACGTATTAAAAAAATGAAAAATTTATCACTATACAGAGAAAAACAGAAAGTTTATTTTTTTTCAATGATCAACCTATATATGAATTTATTTTTCAATTCCTTATAAAATTCTGAGTATAATTCATATAACAAACCATATACCTAAATTTAACAATTTCTTAAATATTCGCATTCTAAATGTTATCATTAAATGTTTTTTTAAACTGTTAGAAATCAAGAAGCCTCAGTATTCCAAAATTTTTATTGAAAATAAATTACTATAGTGACGTAATGTCAATAACTATTTAAACTTATTATCTTTTTTTGTTTTTCCCTGTATACAGATCAATTTTCTTTATACGTAGAAAAAAAGTATTTTTTAGTACCTACGTAACCACACTTTTAAATTTTTTGGGGCCCTTAAAATAAAAAAGTTAAAGGGGGGCGACATTATAGCGGATCACCCTGTACATTGAAATCCAGTGTTTTTTTTCATGCATTATAGGTTATATTTTTCATTATATTCGAATTATTCTAGACGAATCGAAAGAAATATTTCGATTCAAAATTTAAATGTTAATTTTAAATTTATTTGTAAATTACATATCTGTCAAAGCCCATTTCGGCTAATTGGATATTATTTTTCAATAAAAAAAAATACCCGGTAATCGTTAACGCACACAGAAAAAAATCTAACTTAGTACCAAGAACAGCGCTGTCATTGAATGCATTAAAATTAAAACAATCTAAATTGTTATTTGCTCAATTAATTACTATTAAACCAAAATAGAGAAATATTTTACCTAAATGTCAAAGAATTTATTGCGTTAAATGTATACATAGTATACATACAATAGTAACGTTATTAAATAAATCAAATTAGTATTTAATGCAATAATTGCATTAATAATTATTACATTCTAACATTCTAACAAATAAATATCAATATGAATATCAATAGATTTAGGAGCGATAACTTTTGTTGTTAATTTAAAAACAGTAAACGATTATAAACCAAGTGCTAACTACCTATAGGTATTATAGGAACTGTTATTCAGGAATACGGATTACAAGATCCCATTGGTTTAATGGCTCACCCATTCATGCTATGCTAGCGTTTTTTCTGTGCAGCGTTACGTCCTGTTAACTGCATTAAACCTTAAAACAAGCATCATGCTTATTTTTATTTTGAATCGTTATACTTACGATAAATCTCACTGAAAGCTCGAAGGTGAACCATGCGTTGCAAAAATGTTCGACGGCCAAAAAATAGGGGTGAGGCTCTGTGCAGTCAGGGTCGCTGCTGTAGCCTAGGCTGCATTCCACTCTCATTCCCGGCTGAGTTTTCAGGCAAAACGAGAGAACCGATACGCAGATAAAAAACACCGACGCGCCGGCGACTATCTGAAACACACGCAGAAAAAAACGGGGCATAATTTAAATGGGTCATTACAGGTGGAGGGCCACCATACACATGCAAACGAACAAAGGCTACGTTTAGGTGGTAGATTTTCATCCACAGTTTTGTTCCAAGCAGGGTCATTAATTAGTTACAAACTCGCTAATGACTTACATTCATTTTCTTGCCTTGCTTTTGTCGTTTACTAATTTAAAAGCTACACTGAAAGAAATATATGTTTGTTTTAGCAATGTTTGTGGTTCATATATGGACTACCACATACATTGCTAAAACAAACATATATTATATTTAGTTTTAACATAATATGTTAAAACTAAATATAAAAATGGTTAAGGTAAATATATTATATGTTTGTTTTAGCAATGTATGTGGTAGTCCATATATGAAACATAAATTTCTTTCAGTGTAGGTACATAATTAATGAGTCAAAAAACTTGTTTTATAAAAGCTAGAAGGACAAAATCAGCAAAAAATAACAAAATTTAGTAAATTTTTAAATTATATTTTTTTGAGATCCTACAAAAGCGCACAGTGGGAAAGATTAAACAAAAAAGTTAAAAGTGTTTTTTATTTAAATTTGTTTTTATTTTTATATTTAACTGCCACAGGGCCAAATTACAGAAATAATGTATTTATTTTTATTCAAAAATGTTCTTAATTAATTTCCATTATTAATCAAAATTTACATCCCCATCTTGATCCACATTTTACGTGTACATTATTATTACTCCCTTCTTAATTCAATTAAATTCAAATATTTTGTTTTTAACTTTGACATTGCAATTTCTTAAGGAAACAAGCTGCAGAAGTTATTGTTATTTAATTTATTAACAAATTCATTAAACGGTGCAGTTTACCAAACCGACTTAAATTTTATCAAAATTTTTGTTTAGATAATTTATTGGTTTGGATAACCAAAAATCTCAATTTTAAAGGTATTTATTATGTATTAATAACCGAGATATAAATTAATTATTATAATTTTTTTTTAATAATATTTTTTTTTTAGTAACTTCTTACATGTACTTTGCTCCACACCTTAAAGTCCCACCACGTGACTTCGTACGGAACGCAGTCTTTTGGAAATTTGGCATTTAATGCTTTTCAGGTTATGTATCTGTCAAAGTATAGCCAACGAAAGAAATAATATTATCTTTATAACATTACAATAACAATTGTTGGTTTAAGAATTTAGAAATATAAATACTGCATTTAATAAAATTCTAAATTGTATGGTGCCAAATAAGTAATATTTTTGTGCATTTGGTCCAAATATCGGGTATTCTCCATAAAATAATTTTAAATAAACAGCATATATTAAAAAAAAATCTAGCTTTTCTATTATGGGATAAGTATATCTGTATTAAAGGTAGGTTAATACGTAATCGTAATCGTAATCGTAATCGTAAATTATAACAAAAATATCATCTAATTTTGTAATTTTAAGGTTGGAAAAATTTATTTTGACCAAAATAAATAAGTATTTTGGATTATTTGAAAGACTGTATAATATGGTATTTAAAAATGTGGTAGTTTTTCTAATCCAGCTTAAAGTGTACCTACATAAAGTTTTGTCAATACAAATAGTTATAAAGCTTCGACTGAATTTGATCTACATCGAAAAATAATTTTAACTTGTCATGGGATTATTAAATATTTTCACATTGCAAGTTTTTTGTTTTCTTATAACAATAACAAAATATCACTTATTTGGCACCATACATAGAATTTTATTTAATGCAGTATTTATATTCCTAAATTCTTAAACCAGGGTTATTGTGATACTATAAAGATTTATTAACTTTTAACGCTTAAACATAAGCGGTAACACTATAAATATTATTTCTTTCATTGACTATACTTTGACAGATACATAACTTAAAAAGCCTTAAATGACAAATTTTCTGTACGTGGCCACGTGTGGTAACGTGGTGGGACTTTGAGGTGTGAAGCATAGTACAAGTTATTGAAGTTATTAAGCTAATTTTAAAATGTTATTGGAACATGTGTATCTTATATTTTTTTCATGAGCATAGCATTTCCTAAAAAAAATCAAGGATTTTTTGACATTTTTGACCTATAATTCCAGAAAAAATTGAATCTTAGTAAAATTTAAAACATGTCGTCCTAGTCAAACAAACTCTTGACTTTTTTTAGCAAAAGCAATGTCATGAAAAAACAATAAATGATAAACAAATTCTGATTATATTTTTAAAATTAGCTTAAAAAGTTACCCCTACACACAAACTTTTACTTTAATAATTTATAAAGGTTAAAGAGTTATTTAAGTGAAAAATGACTCATCTTGCGGAAAATTTAAAAATTACACTAATTAATTTCACGGTAATTAGTCAAGGTGAAACCCTTAAATTTAAGATTTATGTTTTCGGATACGGTGGCCAATATTTAAAAAGAAAAAAATTAGACCCCACCATTTTTCTAATTTAATGAAAAACTTTGGTTATCCTTAAAATTAATTTTTTATGATTTTTTAATAAACCACCTTTTAGAAGAGAGTGGATAATAATGCAGTTGATAACTTGGTCTAGAATTTTTGTTGTTAAAATTTTTTTGAAAGCTATTTAAAATTAAATGTAGGAGCTTTGTAGTATGTAATGAATAAAAAAACACTTTACAAAGTTCATACAAAAAAACATTCAATTTTCTTAGTTTCTTTAAGAAACTTTCTTGACCCATCACTGGTAATATTCATAAGAAAAAATTGAACCTACACCTAGCCAAAGTTTTTTGTTTTGAATGCGTTCCACCAACTTCAGGCCACGTCGTTTGACGGTGTGGATCACCTGATGTTCTTACATCTCGCCTCTGTTGACTTAACAACCAAGCATGTAAGCTCAGGGAGTAATTTGTTTTGATTGTGTTCCACTACACCAAGTTGCCCGACACTGATGAGACCCAATAAAGGTCGAAACAGCTGTCTGTCGGTATTTGAAGTTGGTGGAACGCATTCAAAACAAAAAAATTTAAAAATGTCTATTTTTCTACACCATTGATTGCACGTACTAAGACTATCTTGTAATTGTTTTAAATTTTCTAAATCTAGTTTCTGCGCCTAATCAAAATAATTATAGAATTAATAAAAACAGAACACAAATTTAAGTTGTTTTATATTTTTAATAAAATTGTATATTTTTATAAGAAAAGCAGTGATTCTTCGGGACTGGTGTATCGGCGTTTTAATACCCCTGGCTAGTGGGGTGCCCCTGTATATGCGTCTTGGACCTTTAATAATTGAATCCAGAGTCGACCATTTCCTTCTTGTAGTTAAGTTAATTGACAGTAAGGGTTTTTGTTTGTAAATGTAAACATATACTCATATAAAACACGGCAGCGAAAGCTTCTTAATTACCTCGTAAAATGTATGCTGATCTATAATATGAGCTTTCTCCGCCTGGTATATTGTTATTAAAAATATATTTTTTTTTTTACAAAAAATGTCTAAAAACCTATACATACAGGGTGTTTCAGAATAAGATGCTGAACCTTTAGGGTGTGAATACTTAGTTGATTTTAAGAAAAAAAGTTCAAATAAACCTATGACCTAAACCTCTTAATTTTTTAGTTACAGGGTGTTAAAGTTTTAAGAAAAAAATCGTTTTTTTATCATAACTTTAATAAAAATTATTTTTTAAATCCCCATTTATTTTAGGGCAAATTTGATTTCTTTTTATTTTGAAAAATAGCAGTGGCGTGCATAATATTTTTCCAAAAATATCTAGACCACATCCTGTACGGACGCCACTGGTAAAAAAAATAAAAAAAATTCTAAATCAAAAACTTACTGTTAATGCTTAGAAGGCGTGTGCCAAATTTTATAAAAATATCTAGGAAGTTATTAAAGTTTTGATAAAAAACGTTTTTTTTTTTCTTAAAACTTTAACACCCTGTAACTCAAAAATTAAGAGGTTTAGGTCATAGGTTTATTTGAACTTTTTTTCTTAAAATCAACTAAGGATTCACACCCTTAAGGTTTAGCATCTTATTCTAAAACACTCTATATAATAATTAAATTTCTTACAATTCGTCACCCTAATATAACAAGGTTGTATGTTAAAAAAACGGAAAATTTAAGTCTATGTTTCTACAGGATTATACGTGGCCTACGCTTTACATACCACTTAAAAATAATTCTAGAGAATGTATTATATTCTATGTATACATATATATATATATAGAGTTATTTTCAAGTTGTATGTCAAGGGTGGATTATTAACATACAACCTTTTTATATTAGGGTGACCAATTGTCATTTTTAGTTCGTAGGTTTTTAAGAACGAAATTTCTTAAAATCTAAAAAAATAGATTAAAATATTTTACTTATATTTATTACTATTTTTTCTTTCCTATTGTTAATTATGTATAGAAAAATGTAAAAAAATGTTTATTTTTCAGTTCATTTGTTGCAATTTTTTTTCCTACATTCACTATTAGACACAATCTTTTTCCTAAAAGAAACACGCCCATAGAAAGAGAAAATAATTTATAATGACCGTGAAATCGTCCTTTCACCGAAATGAATATGTAGGGCAAGTTAAAAAACGTTTACCACTAGGTTATCTATTTTTCTTTATTTGGCTGTCAATAATGAGTGCTTGTGATAAATGCGTTCATTATTTTTTATTACCGACAGCGTTGACAAATAAACAACGAGTCGCGATGAAAAACTAAAAGCTTCACAAATTTATTGTCAAAATAAATTTTACTTTTTAGTAAACAAAACAGGATTTTATATTTTTTGATTTTTATTGTTAAATGAGCTTTGCGTTCCTAAGCAAAATTATTTTTATTTTATAGTATATTATGTAGTTTATAAACGAGTTGTACTATACTTTTTCTAAGACAAATTATTTAAATTAAATATTTGTATAGAGCGACATCTATACGAAATTAGGGTAACCATTCGCGTAAGAATGGGAATCTGCATTACCGGCGGCAAATGTCAATTTATTCTGCGTAAATTTAA